GCTGGCACCGGTCATAAAATGCAACGCGTTTCTGTGTTTTCAAAGTTACATTGTTAGGGATATATCGCTGACTGAGATATATCGCTGGCTCGTTACTTTTGGGAGTGTTCGCTGAGATATATCGTTGGTTCAGAAATTTGAAGTAGGGAGCAACAACTGTAACCATGTAAATATTAATTCGATTAGTTTGCACACGGAATGGTTTAATGCGACTATATTTACCACTTATCAATAAATGAGATCCCTGTCTATTGCAAAATATTGTTACAGTGTTCATCCTAGCGATGACAAAGCTTGATCGACGTAGAACTGTGTACACTACGACAAAGCAAATATCTTAACTTATTAAACTTGCATGCGCCAAGCTTTGTTTATGCGTTTCAGTACCTTACAATTCGCACTCCCAACAGGAAACTCCGTCAAATATTTTCCGACAAACAAGTAAAACTCATTAGGAGGAAGTCTATCACTGCTTTGACTTATGAAGCAACAAAACAAACTATTTTCAAATAACCTTTGTCACGCAATATTTACGTTAGCGAGATGCGCAAATTCTCAACTGTTCAAAATTCGGGATTCCCTAACATTTTGCCTTTTCACATTATTCATTACACCTTGTTTTCATCTCTAAAGAATATTTGCAATAAAAAAGATTTTCACGTCGCCCGGCAAACTTGTTGATGAAAAAGACGTGGGTTGCCAAGACAAAAGTGGCCCCGGTAAAATTCACGAAGTGATTCTTGTTCTCAGGGATTAAGAGATCGAGGCGGTGGATTGTGAAATATTATTTGCTAAAACTTCGTTAAAGATGGACTAATTTTTCTTGTCCTTTTCAACCTTGTTTTTAGATTTTTCGTTAACATGTAAAAGTATATCCCAACAAAACTTATTTGTAAGAGCATTGTTTCGGAACACTCTTTCATTCTTGAATGTTTGATTTTGCATCCAAGGGGGGAACACTGATGAATTTGCGTTTTAATAATCATGCACTGTAAGCTCTCAGATTCACTGACAACAACCCTCACCATTTGGAAGATGATTTTATTCTGATAATTATTCAATGATGATTTGTTTATACATACAAAATTGGCGCCTAAAAGAATTGTAATGTTATGCTTAAAATGTTTACATAATGTCTTGAAACATAACTGAAATCAATATAAAATATGAAAATACACATATATGCATTCTTTTCCCAGCCCTACTATAAAAGTGATTTAATAAGTGTGATTTAATGCATTTTCATATGACCATTACAATATTACTCCCACTTTGACACTAGCACAAGTTCAAGCGCAAAACAATTCTTGCCCTTGTTCACCTTTGCACTTGCTGGACTGCCATTCTTGTTTGAAGTACAGACAACACTGGACATGAAATCCCTGTATTTGATTCCTTACATTGGCATCCACATAAGAATTAGCTTCATCACATACAATGTATTTGTACGCTACAAAAATCATGAATGTTATTATTCCTTTTCTATCCAAAAGATTTCTTTCCTTCTTGAATATAAATTCGTATCCATGACACTTTAGAAATCCTGAAATATCTAAAGGGGTATCGCTAGTTGTGGGCAACAACTAAATGCCACAGGGGTAACTTTTCACTCTCCGATAAAAATAGATCTTTTGATACTCTGGGTCTCATATATTCAGTGTTTGTGCACATGAATTTAGGAGCACTTGGCTTGCCAATGTCAGTTTGACTGTGTATACACTGTAGTGGTGTATATAGTCATATATCATAGGCTGCACAAGTTGCAATTTATGTAAAATTGCCCCTGAAACAAGCTCATTGATGCTCCCGGTGTCGCAAGATGACAAGTTATGAAAAATTTCATTTGCCTTTTTCCTGTTGCAGGAGCTCCCTATGAAATGCTCAGCACTAAACCTTGTTGATTCAGGTGATAGTCATTGAGGACGACTGCATGGTCACATTTAAACCAGTCGCACTTTTCACTCAAGCCATAGCAGAGCTGGTACAAAATGGCGGCTATCCATTTTTTATTTTACCCTATGCTGTCTGCAGAATGTGAAGGGTCTGTCACTCCATCCTGAACTGCATCAAATAGCCTTGGTGCCCCAGAAGACACACAGACAAGCTTTAATTTTAATGAGTCATACATTGGCTCACTTGAAGCTACCATAAACTCAGACTTTATAAATATCAGGCTTTAAGATCCTTAAGTTCTCCGCATGTTGAAATTGAGTGAAAAGGAAAAGTTAGAGCTAATTTTCTCTCATTTTCAATTTTTTAATCTTAGCCCAGATATGGGCTAGTCAAGGGAGCTAGGCCTTATTAGTTATATCTTAAATAATTAGCACATGTGCAGTAGAAAATACCAAAAACAAAATTTATGAAAAGCAAAAATGAGTACAAGCATGGAAGTATCAGAAGCAGAAAATTCACTTCAATGTCTCAGAGAGAAAAAGCAGTTTTAGATATGACTATGATCTTTACTATTTTAAGTATTTTCACTGTTGTGTGCATATTTGCAATTTTCTAGTATGTAGAAGTGTGGGGAGTAAAGGGAAGGATTTTTCATGGTTAGGGTTACCTCAATAAAACACATCTGTAATATGAAACATCTTATACCACACTCCTGTTTTGGCTCATCTAATTCTTTATTTTAGAAGTATAGGGGCATCTTGGAGTCAAGAGCCTCCATATTACAAAATTCTGCCTACACCCCTGAATAAGTTAAGGCATCACATAGATTTAATAGATGTCATTTCTTGAGTTTGGGTCTTCAGTTTTATATCATCTAGTCAAAAAAGGAAACTTACAATTTCATAGCCCTGGGTGGGATATCTTTGAAATTTTATCAGTCGCAGAATTAGGGCACTGCACCTGCTTTGGCCACTGGTGGTTAGGATGGGGTATCTCTGAAAAGTAATCACTGGCAGAATCACTGCACTAAGGTTGCACATCTCTGAAAAACAGGGCGTTCCTGAACCATAACTGACGTGAAATCGTATTATTGCATGGGGATTGTCGCAAGAACTGCAGTTATGACTATATAAACAGACTAGCATTTAGACTTTTTTTTCACAGCGTTTTATTCAAATCGTAAGCGTCGGACGTTTTGTACTCGGTCACAACTTACATGAAGAGGTTTTTTCCCAGTTATCCAGTGTTTAGCAGAGGAGTTTTGCAGCTGTTACACAGAACCCCATCGACGTGTCCGCGCGCAAGCCAAAACACGAAACAATAATCCCTCATGGACCACAAACCGCTCAAAACTGTGAGTGATCTGCGACTTACTAGCCTTGAGACCAATCTCGCATATTACAAAGAAGACTTTGCCTTATCTGCACTCCACAAAGATAGAACAGATGACTAAGACGATGGTAATTTTTAAAAGAGGCGCCATTTTTCTTTGCTGCATTCGCTGCGATCCAATACCACCGCAAACTTCCGTCCAGCGGCTCGCGCATACTCGCAACGTTACCACTTGCTGTTCTCAATAGGTGGGATCTTTTTTTGTAGAACGCGTACGTCGCTTTGTATGTAGCCTGCGAAGCGCAGACGCATTTCCGGTCGTCTCCTCTCTTCTGAGCATTCAGTGACCTTGTAGCAGCGATTTCCGCCGCTTTGCACGAGACTCTTGTTCGTAGTAAATACGCTAACAGTGTTTCTCAGTTTTTGTTATATTTGTGAAGATTTTGTTCGACAACTGAAGACGTTTCTGCCGTCCTTCTGTCATTTTTGTGCCTGTGAAATGTCCCTGGGGTGGGGGCACTTGATCACCTAAATGGACCCTTGTGTGGGGCATTTGAACGGCATTTTGGCCCGGGTAGGGGGGAATTTGAACAATAATTTTCAAAAAAGTCAAATGCCCGGGGGGTTGCCCGGGGGGGTGATGTTGAAGCTTCGATTTGACCAATACATGACATAATTAACAAAAGGTTTTTTTTTTTCAGTCAAATGAGCAAAACAAAAACTTTCTTGAAAAGAGAGAAACATTCTTAAAAAACGTTTTTATGACACCAAAGTACAACATAAAGGGAAAATAGAGAATTCAAATAGAGAATTCAATTATACTAAGACGAACATATGAGATAATATCATGCTCTCGCTTCATCCGTTACGTTCTGGAATGTCATCTACTTGATTGTCTTTGGGTCAAAATATCTGTAACACTGTGTTTTACATTTTTTGATATTCGTTTCGGTCAATGAATAAACACGTTCTGTTGCAAACGAGTTCACGTTGTAATCTGGAAATCATGCGGAATTCGAAGCCTCGAAAGAGGTCAAGAGGGCAATTTGAACAAAATCTTAAAAGATTTCAAAACTCTTTCACAGATATCGATAATAAGTATATTCAGTAATGGTTTTCTTTGTTAACAGAAATAGAAAAAAAACATAAGCCGTAGCTGATTTTTGGTTCCAGCACTGGTTACATTAATAAAAATGAGGGCTGTCAGAAGTCTTCATCTTTATCGGGTAGCGTTGTCAATCAGTTTGGTATAATATAAGTACAATAAGCAAAAGAGTAGCTTCTTTTCACTTCTTAATTATTTCAAATTGATAAAAGCCTTGTTTAAATGGCTCAATTGCACCGAAGCATAAAGTGCTGGAAAAGGCATAAGAGAGAGCAAAGAGACCACTGTGGTCACGGAATACTTTTTGTATGCTGATCGAAAAAAGTAGAAACTTTCGTAACATTTCAGTATAACCCCATAAATTTATTATGCATACAGTAATGGTTCCACAACATCATAAAAACATGCCAATAACAATACGAAACAGGATAGCGATGGAATCTGGATCTTTTGAGAAGTGGGACAGCTTTATATTATTGTGTTAATACAATTGTTCACAATTCATGAAATACTTGCTCATTTGAATGAAAAAGACGCGATGCTAATATTGTGACTATGTTATGAGCAGCTAAAAACGGTATCGTATGCGGTGAGCATGACCTTGTGACACCTTACTTACTGAAGCTTTTCACCACTGATTAACACAGCTTTCATTTCATGAAGCAAACCACAACAGTTAACTGACGTTTCGTGGCTAAAAGAATTAACACTTTAAAAAGGAGCTGCTATTTTGCTGACTAAAGTTTATCAAAGTACTTTCTGAAAGAACTGGTCGAGGTAAGAAATACTTGTAGAGGGTTCCAAGACAATAAACGTTTATGTTTGTTTCTATTTTTGTTAATAGAGAGATCCACTATGAAAGCGTATTTTCGATACTTGTGGATTAAGTGCTTTTCAATTTGGCAAGATTTTGTTCAAGCGCATTAGATTGCTTTTTTGATGCTTGAGTTAATCGGTTCATTATGATCGTGAGGGAGAGGGAGTTTAGCGACGCTCGGTCGATCTATGAGTTAACTTAATGAAATTTCATTTATCCATCATTTCATCCTCACCTTTCCCGGTTATATTACGAACCAACTTTATGACCAGCTGCCAGTTGGTTTGCTAACTTAGTTAATAATTGATTAGAGCGCTTTACCGGTATCACAGATGTCAAGAATCACTGACTGCTGTACTCCTGTATCTCTGCCCTCTTGTTCCCTCCTCGGCTAGCACCTGCTATTTGCGGGGGGAAACTGACTTCATGTATTTCAGTTGTTAATAAATTGTGTGAGTGTGAGTATGATTCCCAGCAGGACTGAATTTTTTCAGATTTTCTTTTCCCAACTGCATAAGGTTGCGTCCTTAAGTAGCTGCGATAATCTTTACTGTTCGACTGTTAGATTGTTTCAATGACCGTCGATTTTTGTCACGTAGATTAGATTTTTACTCTTTTAAGTCATTACGAGTTTTAGTGTAGTGAAACAGAGTTCACTGTTGCTTACCATTAGAAAATACGTCTGCATGGTGGCAAAGTTTTTAACCAGCTTCGTCACTCCTAACAGAAAGCAGTCACTGAGTCGTAAGTTAGTTGCTACGTAGCCTTACGGGGCGGCCAGGGGAAAAAAGCATACGCTAGAAATATGGGTACTTTTGCATGAGCATTATACGTTGAGGGCACACGGTATACCTAAGTGGAACAATAGGGACATTTATACGAGGAAATAAGACGCAAACTGTCCTGTATAAACGGCATATTTCGTCTCTAATAAGACACGACTTAGCTAAGACGCGTCTTATCTTAACATAGTCCTTTACACTGTTCTTAGATAAGACGCGTCTTAGCTAAGTCGCGTCTTATTTGAGACGAAATGTGCCGTTTATGCAGGACAGTTTGCGTCTTATTTCCTTGTATAAATGTCCGTAATCTGTGTCTAGTAGAGTATTAGCAGTAAGTTGTAATGAACTGTTATGGCTTTTTTATTCCATTTTATTATTCGCTGATCAGGGCTGGCAGATGTTAACATTTGGCTGTCAGTAAAATAAATTTAAAGGGGAACCCTGTGCATATTTCTTGGTATTTCAGGGAAGCAGCGGATGAGAATAAAAGTTTGAGAAACGGCTGGTTAAGTATGCAAATTTGATGCGAGTTGGATTCAATCTACGGTCAATAGTGATAAACAGCGAAAATCTGCATATTTTCCAACCCTTCTATCTTCGACACATTTCCACCACTGCAAGTGTTGAGCAACAGATTACAAACCTACGATGTCCTGTGAAATGACTAACAGACGACATTGGTCGTCCTGGGGTGCCAATTTCTCTGAGAGCCTTTGTGTTCAGAAGGTTCATGAAGGCATTCATTAAGAAAATCCGGTCTAATGAGTCACCCCCCACTAACTATCAAATCGGCATATGGAAATCAGCATTGAGTCAGTTCTGGAACTGTTTTAAAATTTTTGTTTTTCAAGTTCATTCAGAAATAATGACAGGTTACGCTGTTAATGTTAAAATTCCAGAAACAAATTTCAATTACACTAATTAAAAATAAAAGCAGTTCGAGATAACATACTGAAGTGGATAACTGCTGCGTTTTTGTGAACCTTAAAAATAAGAGCACTTTATATTAATTAGGACAAGCTTTTGTCCGAAAGCATAGTGGATGACTTCATAGTGGATGACTTCTAGTTCATTACAATACACTCTTTGATTTGAAAGGAAAAGTGTTTTTGATAACTTGAACTCCACTAAAGAAATACCAGTCACATCAACCAAGTAAAACATAGAAAGGCGACCATGTATGGATTACACAGCTTGACAGAACATTCTACACTTAATGTCGAGTTCTCAAGGGAATCTGTTAGTTTGGTGTGGAAGGACAGGGGGGTGGGAGCCTGGGAAAATGGGCCGGGGCGGGAAGGGTGGGAATCCGGGTGAGAGTTCTAAACGCGTGGAAAGTGGGAGGAATAACGGGAAATTACTTTTAGATGCTCATTACAGTTTGCAATTAAAAAAGGGCTAAAGAGAAAAAGACACGAAAAGAGGAGCGGGAGCTGGGAATTCAAGGTACGGGGGCCGGGAGGTCTGTAGCCCCTGTTTCCACAGCCTTGTTTTCCAGAGAGAACCTATGCTTCCCCTACGCGAAAGTCGGATTAGCGGAAAACAAAAATAACCGTTTCCTCGGGGACCAGACCTTTCATTTTTTGTTGCATTTTCTTGTGTTTTCGAGATCATTTCTCTTTACCAGTAGATGTATTTCTTTATGTGATAACTTCGAAAATCTTCGCTGTTAAGCCTCAGGGTCCATTTTGCATTGTTGTGTTAATTCACGAAAGTGAAAACTGGCAGCGTTCTCACCGTCTTATGTCACGCCACTTTCCATCATGCCTTGATCACGTGCTCTTTAAAAATATGGAAAACCCACTAATTGCGGGGAGGATTCAATTAGAACGGTTTATCTCAAGGGAGGTTTTTGAAAAAATAGGTAGCACCTTTCAAGGTATTACTTGTTTTCTAAATTTTACTAAAATCCCAGAAAATTTTCGTACCATTTGGCGACAATTTATACCAGTACTATTCTATTTCCGAGAAGACAGCCACTCCCAAGACGGCTAAACTGCAAAACAGTCCGTATTTTTACGTATTCAAGTACGCGCAAGCAATCAAACAGAAGGTCTGGAACGAGGCTGAAAACGGAGCATACGACTCTTACACCACGCTTCACCGATTTCTTTGCTGATTTTGAGAAAAAAACCGACTGTTTTTCAGTGTAAAGATGCCGGATTCAAGTAATGAATAAACTGCAAAACAGTCCGTATTTTTGCGTATTGAAGTATGCGCGAGCAGTCAAACAAAAGGCTGAAGCGAGGCTAAAAAAAGAGAGCGAAACTGGAGAGAGACGCTGTCTTTTTTTTTTTGTTTTTTTTCGCTCGCCTCACACGCGCTACGGCGTGTGAGGCTTGCGCGCTTCGCGCGCATACGACTCTTACGCCACGCTTCATCGATTTCTTTACTGATTTTGAGAAAAAAACCGACTGTTTTGCAGTCCAAGTAATGAATGGTTACTATTCCAAATCGTTTATGTCGTGACAGCTGTTTTATTCTCATCATAATCGCCACTGTTACAAGACTTCTTGCAACACAAATGTAGCACTCTAGGTGAGAAAGATTGAAGTTTTGGTCGTCGATACTTGCGTCTATCTTTGCTTTCGTGATTCGTGCTTTTCGTGATTTAGCCAGGACAACGCACCGTGATTGGTTGAAAACGGGCAACCATTATTTCGGCGGCGATTTCATAGTAACAGCAGCTCCTGTTTCAGTTATTATGAGACCACTCCTAGTTTTGTTCCGACTTGCAAATTTTGATTAGAAACTCGCCGAGTTAACATACAAAAGCATCGAAATAGCCTTAGAATTGGAAAGGTTCTCAGTATACCAATCATCGCAGATGCCTTAAATAGTTGTGTTGTACTTTTAGAACGCGATCTGTTTTTACTGGCAAATTCCTGAAGAGCAAAGTTTAATTAACCTGCGTTATGGAACCAACCGGTTCCACAGTTCATATTGGTAAAACTTACCACTACGGTTAAAGACTATGAATAAGTTATAGTCTAAACTCACTCCGAAGTACTACTGCCAACAATTTTGCTATGTCGTTTCCAAAAAAACTACGAGCAGCATGCTTGACTTGACAAAATGTATTCGGGTCTTTCTCTCTCCCTCTCTCGCTCCCTCCGAACTTCGTTGTTTTTCTATGGTTGTCTGCTACAACGTCTTCAACTTCAACTAACTCATCCAAATTTTGGCCACCCAAATAGCTGAACTGTGGACCTGCAATTTAGACATGTTTGGTATAGCCGCCGAGCAAGAGATCTTTTATTGCACTTCCTCTTCACTAAAAAGGTGCGCGCTTCCACCAACGCATTTCCGAGGGTGTTTTTGACTAGCAATTAAAAAACTAATGAAATAATAGAAATTAAAAATTGAAAGTTAGACTAGCCACTACCCAAACAATTTGTTGTTTCCCCCCAAAACACCCGACCTAAGCACGGAACTACATAATTGACCCATTTTCAGTGCTTTATGATATAGCTTTGAAAATGGTCATATGTCTTCAAGTCTTCTCCAAGTGTCCACTTCTAAACTACATATTTTCGAAAAGAAGTCGATATCACTTGACTTGAAAACAACAACCTAATTAAAACTACCGGTATGGGCTGGACCTTGGAGTCTTAAACCAACCTTTTATTGAAAGAAACTCTTAACGCAAGACAAACCTAAACCCTTAAGCAGTTTTAAAATACTTCGCAAACGTTCAAAAAACAAAAACCTTGAGAGGCCATGATAAACGGATTTAACCTTAGGAATAAACAGATTGTACGCTAGATTGAAACAAAAGTAACTAGCCCTTGATTAATTGTGCTCCTTCTATCCATAACACTTTTGATCCCTATTAGTTTAAACATACGTCACGTACTTTTAGCAGTTTAGATGGGGCTGCCAAAACCATTAGTCTTAGTTTATTTGAAACAGACCAACCCAAATAAGTAAATGTTCTTTACATTAGTTAAGCAAGCATGTAGAGGAGACTTAAAAAGACACAATTTCACTTTAATGCACCTATAAATAGAAACTTTGTTTAAATAACGGCCCTCACACTTAAGCTTTTTCACCTGTAGGCCTGGTGAAGGACGTGTCATCTGTCAGAGCTCAAAAAAACTACACGTGCTCAACTGCATCACAGAAGTGGCGTCAAAAGCGTTTCTCCTTGTCGTAAAACTACTTTACAATGGATTCATGGAGCTCTTGGCAAGTTTTCTCTCTTCTTTGCTTTATTACCCTTATCAGCACGACGGATTGTCATATTTTCTCGCATGTCCACGCTCGGAGCGTAAATGGACCAGGAGCACAATCTTTTGTTGACAGCTTGTTCGAAAAATATGGCAAAAACAAATCAATGGACTTGAAACAGTTTAAAGCTCTTTTGAAAGAACTTAAGGTTGGATCCATGCAAGCTGCAGAATCAGGCCACGGACATCATGAAAGTCATCATGAAAGTGAGAGTGAATCATCACACGGACACCATGACAAAGAAGAAAAGGGATCGGATAAGGTAAGCCGACCAAGAACATTAACGATTAGGTACAACTGGTTGGTCAGACCAGTTAATGAGCCATTCGCTAAACGCATCCATTATTGATCAGAAATACCCAGTCAGATCAGTACATGCACAACAGTGGGTAAACACTATTACATCATTAGTTTTCTACAAATTTTTATATTTTTCCTATTTTTCCTGTACATGTAAATTGATTCTGAAACCCCTATTGGGAGAATTAATAAACATACTGTATTGTACTGGGGGGTTGGGGGTGGGGGTGGTGGCATTCAGCATGAGCTCGATCCCCCAAAAAGCCTGTTTGACTTTCAAAATTACCTTTCCATCCGGCCAGTTCTGGCTTTCGGTAAACGCTCTTAAACATTTCGAACTTTTTCGACGCTATTTTTTGCGCAAAAGAGTAAAGAAGAGAGTTTTTGATGATGGCTTGGTAGCCAGGCGAGACGTTAACTGCAAGGGAGACTCCAGTTTTTAGTGGCCTGCGAATGCAGATTTATTTCCGGTTGACGCTTCCTCGTGCCAAAAAAAGTAACGTCTGCGTTAAGCGTCTAAGAAAGCCAAGGGTAAGCTTATAGCTTTACCCTAAAAATGAAGGGTTTTTAAGTTTACCGCTTTACGTAACACCAGACCAGGCCAAGATAACGTTATTAAGCTTATACATTTCACAAATCGTAACCCCTAAAGCCGTATGGGATTGTTTGGGCGGTCTAGCTCATTTTATAATTTTTCTTTAACCCTTTCCGTTCCGAGTCAATTACATATAGAGAAAATCTTATAACTTTTGAGTCTGTGAATCAATGGAACGGTATTAAAGTACTTTCAATTGTAAAAATCTTTTTTTACGCATTGATGAAAGCAAAATTCAAGTATTTCTCTCAAAGTTTTTACATTGACTTGCCTAGTCCCTAGGCCTCATCATTATGCGCGGCCGATGCGTTTCGGGTCACGTGGTCCGAGAAAGTTTTTGAGGCCTAGACAAACTCGGAGAAGTGAGAAATTTTGTCTGACTTGGGGCGGAGCGTTTGGAAGCGGGCGAGCTGTCAATAACTTTTCCGCGCTGATGAAAGATGTCCAGCAGCCATGGAGAGTACAGAGAAACGAACATTTTTATTCTATGCACGTTTTCATTGTTGAAAGTCGTTTGGCCTTTTTTTTCTATTTATCTCATTAAACTAATTTGATTTTTATTTCATTTCAAAAACTATTTGTAGGCTAAGCAAAACAGCGTCACAAAAAAATTATTTGATCAAGAATCGGAAGGTAAGCTTAAGAAATAAGTTTATATTTATTCTTGGATATGACAAGCTATCTTTCGTTTCTCTATTTTCGCTTGCTCCTATAAATTTCTCGTTTTCACTTCGAAATACTTTATGTAATTTAATTTTTGGATTTGGAAGCTTATCAAACGGGCTGTTGAATTTGGTCTCTAAATTTGGTAGAATGTCAACAAACTACTGTTTCAAATCATTTTATCAATAAAGACTATGATTTTAGTGGTTCATTTGAAGATGGACTAAAAGAGAAATTACTTACACGTTATACAGTAGTATTCTTTCCGATTCGAAGTAATATTTTTGTTCTTTTATAATACGAACTAGGTTAGTTATTTTTGTAAAAGGGTCAATAGTGCCGATCTTTAGCGAAGGATACTCACGCGCAAAGTTATTTATAGATTATTTCAGTTGACCGTATGAACGTTTCAAAAATACTCACGCATGCGCACTCCGAGATTGTCTAGGCGTTTCCCGGCCGTTCGTCTCGGATACGTCACCGAAATACATTGACCGAGAAGGCCTGAAAAGACGCCGGACAGGGACTAGGCAAACATTTACCCATATTTGAATCAAAGGGGATAAGCTAAAATCTCTAAAAGCTTCTATGAAAGCTTGTGTTTAATATTTTTTTAAAGTTCGGCTAGTGTAATCATTTCGCTGTTTAGACTATGCTTAATGTTTATCACTTAAAACAAACGATATCTTCTACGGTTTTGTAGAACGAGTTAAGGCGGTGTAGATTACAGACCAGCTGAGAGTCCTAGTAGACTCAACTCAATATGTGTCTGGATCCATCATACGTGGCAGTTTTTGACTAGGAATACCTATTTATTTTAGTTTCGAGTCTTGGTTCTAAGAGAATCTATTTATACAAATCTGTACCTCCGCCTGATATAAAACAGTTACTTTGAAGAAGGAGAAGGATTTTTCGAGCTGCATGGCAGGCGCTTTACGAGCCAAGCGAGGTGAATGGGGCCTTTCGCGCAAAGCGCGAGACGAGGATCACCTGACATTCTGTGTCGGCGTCTCGCGCTTCGCGCGAAATATCCCCCCGCCCGGCTTGACTCACTAAACGCCTGTCAACGCAGGTGCATTTCTTTGAGGGTATCAATTAGGTGATAGTGACATTTGATTTCTTTCCGCAACGGTTAACTGTGAATGTGAAAAACAAAACCGTTTACAATGCGACTACTGTAACCAGGGCCACTTCGACAAAGTTGACAACTCTGATTACCGGAAAATAACAATAGATTTCGAGAAAGTTGGTTGTGGGCCAATCAGCAGCTCGTAAAAAGATAATAAGTTACTCGAAGCACAACGTTAAAGGTGGTTCCACTGAGTTTTTTAGGGAGTATACTTCCCCACTTTGAGCATTTACTACGTCGGCATTACCATATCGATATGTACTATATAAAGATGAAAATTTGTTATGATCTATGTTTTATTGACATCATAGTTGCCATGACAACGTAATGACGCCATTTCGTTTTTTACTTTCGTTTGCATTTTTTGGCACCAGACGTTTTTTCAGAAATCGCTTAAGGGAGCTTGTACCTCCCTTGGTTGCATCAATGATGGCAAAGTTTGAACAAATTCTGTGAGAGCGTTTTAGAAATATTTTGAAACAAAAATCTAAGGGTCATAAAAACAGTGGAGAAACATGCTATTGACATAATTGACTAATATCTAAAGAAAATGATGAGGTCTGGAAATGCAGTTTCATCTCACCGTGGTTTGATTCTATCTGAAAATGCGCACCAAAAAACAGGGGGATTGCTTCGGCCGATTGCGAGAAGGAAGAATTAGCCTACGTTCGGCTTCTTTCTTTACCAATTTTGTATCTAATTTGGTTCACGCCTACAAATTTCACGGTAATTTAAAAATCGCATAATAGTTTTTTTAAAAAACTTGACAATCCCGAGATTAATCTTCAATTTACATGTACCTTGAGGGCCTCAAGGTTTCAAGGACATTGAAAACAAGGAAGGCAATGAGGCTTCAAATGTCACAAAATTTTTCCCTCCGGTTTTGTGTTTTCAAGTGAGCGTCCTCATTATTCACTGGCATTATTTTCAAGTTTCATATTCACGTGCACAACTTGAGCAAAAAAACTATATTGCAATCAAAAGGACCCTTCAATTACTTCCCGGTCGTATTGAGGAGTCTTCGTACTAATGAAAATAAGGTGAATGATAACTTGTCTTGCAGAACGGAAACATAAATGCAAAATCTATTGTATAGCGATTTACTTCTGCGTTCCACATGATGAAAAAGTGACGCTACAGACACTGTCTTCACCATTTCTGTTGCATTAGCATATTTCGGAGATTTCTTCCGAAAGAAATCGAGGGTCAGTCCTTTTCAATGCAAATTAGTTTTTTGCTAAAGTTGTGCACCTGTGTATGAGGGTGTCTGCAAAACCAGGAACAGGCTCGGAACACCCTGGGACATCCCCGGAACACCCTCAGGACACTCCGGAATACTCCGGAAGAACCCCCTAGCTGGCTGGACCTCCCCCGGAACACCCTTAATAACAAAACCAGAAAAAACCTAAAATATCGTAAATGAATCAATAAATATGTTTTATCTGTAACTGGAAAACGGAGATTGGTCAGATTGACGAATTCACGCTACTTAACGACTTCTGAAGATTTTAAGAAAGTAGTCCGTTGCCTTTATACGAATACTTACTAGCCTTGTTGTCTGAAATATAGCTGAAAGAGCCGCTGCTGAAGACAAGAAAAAAAAAGACCAAAAATAAAATATCTTCTAAATAATTATCTTGCCGATTTGATGTCTACCGTGTTGGAGGACTATCACTTACAAAATTCAGCTATTTTGATTCTTGTCTTGTTTTCTTTTACTTTGATATATTGTCCTTGATTAAAAAGAAAAATATTCTCGGTTTTAGTGTACCATTTTGACTTTCCAGCTGATACTTTTTTTCTCTTTCGAGAGAGTAGTTTATAAATTGCATGGAGATTTCTTTGCTCTCTCGGTATTTCCCGGAAGGGGGACATGCACTCTCTTATTTTGCCTTGACGGTTATGTACCCTTGAGCAGCGCATGGTTTTCAGGGTCTTGGACCGGAATCCTTTACAAGAATGTGAAGGTTGGATATAAGCTGTCTACGTCTGTGGTACCATCAATTTTTTACCAAAAAATCCAACTCCACGATGTTAATTAGGTTGAGAAATTACTTAGTTCTGTCAGCGAAACAAAACGAATCAGGGTCCTAAAATAAGGTCTCTTGTCTTAAGCAGGGTCTGGGTCTGAACGCCTCAGCGCCAAAACTTTACCCAAAATTTCCTTGAGTGCACCCCTCGGGTACGGTCCGTTATGCTTTTCTTGGTCTGGAGCGCAATGTCCTGTAGTTCCTCCGTTGGAATGAATACTTTGGTTTAGCTTAACAGTCTATGCACTGCGACTGTTCTGAAGGTTGTTGAGACAGCTTCCTCAGATAGAGCACCCTCTCTGTCTTGTTCGGCCGTGATATATGTCTGAGTGTCCTGGCCTTGAGTATTGCTGACTAGCCACTAGTGAAGCTGTCACGTGGTTAAGATCCATATTTATCTCATTTTGAAAATCAAAAACTCCATTTGAGAAATCAAACGCGATAAATTTTGGAAAGATTAGCTGGAAAATCAAAATAAAACACTAAAACAAAAAATATCTTTCTTTTTAATCAAAGACAAAATATCAAAATCAATATCAATATCAAAAGCAAGAAAACAAGACAAGAATCAAAATAAGTGAATTTTATAAGTGACACTCCTCGAACACGGTAGACATCAAATCGGGTAGAAGATATTTAGTGGAAATATTGTAAATCCCTTATGGGCCATCCGCTTGGGTCTCATTCAACTCTTTTCTTTCTTTTTTCTTGAGCTCACAAACACAATACCTGCCTAATATAGAAAGAAAATATGACGTGATCAAATGAAAGACGACTGCGAGCAGTGCAGCTACTATTGTGGTTGCTTTGAAAAAACTTATGGGGATTTGCGTTTGTGAAGATGTTGAGTTAAAAACAACGCAAACTTCCCCTGTACCTCGTTTTATTTTTAGTTTTGCCCTTTAAAATCTTTTGTTATAACAGAGACAACCCTGTAACAAGCTATAATAAGAAGACTAGCAATTGAACAAAGAGGTTTTAGAAATTATCACAAATACAGCCGGGATAATTTGTTCATCTAATTTTTGTTGCAGTGTTACTCTGCCGAAGTTCTGTTTGACTCCTTCTCCATTGAGTCAAACAGATTGAACCAAACTTCTTTTGAAAGGATATGCCCAGCCATAGTACAACAAATTGAAAGTAAATCATGTGAAAGTGGAAAAGAGGACAGCGGTGATGAAAGTGAAAGTAAAGCCAAAGGTAAGTACTTACATGTACCTTAAATAACTCGCTAAGGTATTTGAGCTCGTTAATTACGAGAAATAATTAAAACTGCTGCAGCTTCTCACCAGAAAAATGACAATTAAACTACACCAACCACAGCAGAATGCTATGATATAGACAGCACTGCTTTTTAAAGCAGTGTCATTCTGCTGTGATTGGTGTAGTTTAATTGTCACTGAACCCCATAACCCGCCGGAGAAGACTGGCGGAGAGCAATAAAGACAATTTGATCCACAACTCAGGTGAGGACACTGTAAAACTATCCGGCATTCTCTTTACTATAAATGTCAGAAAAAAGAGACCAAAATTTCTTTTTTCCTACCTTTTTTCCTTGTTACCATAGCCAATGTAACTTGTGAGCAGACTCAATGCATCCCGCGCACTATAATCAAGTCAATAAAAAACTGTAACTATTATCGGCAATGTCAGTATCCATTTATTATTATTACTGAAATTATTGTTATTATTATTATATTTATTTCTAGATCATTATTATGATTATAATTTACATTTTTATCCTTAGTCTAACATAAATGTAATGAGAATCGGAGCTTAACGTTTTCAGTAATTCACATACCGGTAGGTCATATTCAGTCATTTTATAACTTACAAGTTCTGCTCATCAAAACCACAGGAATAAAGGAACAGTGTGAAGACATTCAAATGTTTATACAAGCGTTCACTGGGTTAAACATTAATCAAGCTAAAACCTCAACTCTGTTTCTAACAAACCCTGATTGCATCCTTAAATTGCTTTTGGTCACTGCTTTCTTTTGTTGATTTTTTTTGTTGTTGTTTTCTCTGTTTTAGCTTGGGGATTTGGTTTCTTGTCTGTGACCATCATCAGCTCTGCATCTCTACTGGGAGCTTTTATAGTGCCGTTTATGAACAAATCATTTTACAAGATTCTCCTGCTGTTTATGGTGTCTCTTGCTGTTGGTGTGTTGAGTGGTAGTGGAATCATTCATCTCATCCCTCATGTAAGTTCCATGAAATAAATGAAAACATTATTTTTGCTGCCTTTTCTTTTTCAAATCCCTTCGTAAATCTCCTGTGGTTATGGTGCGCTTTACCCAATCATTCAGGTAAACGTGGCTTTCAAACCTTTCAGAAGGTGAAATGCAGTCCATGTTTTTCCAGACTCTATTTTCAAGATATTTTTTACAATTTTTGGCAGACGTTTCTTGCGTCTCTCTCCACTGGAAGGGACTATTGTTTCATTGAACAACAAGCCTGATCAAAAAAAAGAAAAAAAATAGGGGTACCTGCTGGGTCCATTTATGGCACATCGAGGCTGGTTGTGTTTTTGTGGGGATGGAGGGGGATAGGGGGAAATACAAGGCCATTCCCAGGTTTCAGATCTCCAAAGGCGCCTGTCTCCACGCTGTAATCCACAAACTGAGAAACTGACATCTGAAATCATTAAAGCTGAAAATCCTATTCAACCACATTCTAGGTAACATCACTTTCTCTCTTTATTCTTCCTCTTCAGTTTCCTCACTACGTGACGGGAACAGTATCCTCATGAACAATTAATTTCCGGTACTTTGTTTAAAGGACAAATTGAATAATTGGACTTCTTCTGGCAATTTAAAGGGACTATGTCAGCTGGAGAGCATGCGCGTTGAGGTTATGCAAATTACCTTTAACTGTCAAATTCTATTGTTTTTAATGCGTGACTTCCCTTCACGTCCAAAGCTACGAAATGTTTAATGAGACGTTTACGAGTTTGGATAACTGATCTTTTGATAGAATTTACGGAACGTTTCCTTTCTGGTTATGCTATACTCAAATTCTTCGTCTAGAATAAAAGTGGTAAGACAATTTTACTTGTAGTTTTGAGGTAAAAACGCGTGCCATTCATAAAAATATAGCGCAAACAAAAATTCACCAACATAATTGTAGTAGTCAACAAAATAAATCAGTCTTATTTAAGAAACGACCTACAAAACTTTAGACCATCGGTAAAGACCAGGACTGTTTCAATTTACTAACAACTTGTCTCTCGCTACTGATCTTTGTAATTTAGATCGCACGCTGACAGGACAAGAGACGCCGTTTATTGATGCCTCCGTGTTGAAGCGAAACACACACTGATTGCGCAAATTTGTTCGATCGTGCCGAATCACTGCGACGTCGAGAAAAACAGAACCAAGTATCATTGGTATTCTGCTCCATTGTTAGCAGTCCGGGAATAACAAGGGAAAATAAACTCTGCTATTTTCCAAAATATGCTCAAACACAAACAGTTCATAAACATGACCACCACAGAATGTAACTCGTACTGGTCCGTTGCTATCTAAGTCCGTTGAGAACAAGCTAGACGAGTAAACGGTCGTTTTTTATCGTTGTCGTGAATGAAGATAAACACAAGAAGGAATCTAGCCGAATTGTATAACATTTCCTTCGTCAGAAAATTAGTTTCGTCTCAAAACTCATGGCCACGCTGTGGTACCAGGGGCACCCATCGACTGTTTTCTGTAAAATATCTGTTCGGGGAAGGGAAAATTGCCTAGAATTTTCTATAGCTTGAGGAAGGCTAAAAATTTCTAGATGACTTTTCCATTCGTGTACAATTTTCGAACCTTATCTTATAAATTCCCTACGATTTTCTTAAGTTTAATTTTTCGCATTTCACTCCCCAGGTTAAGCTATTTTTCGTAGATAAAGGAATCCTAAAATTTTCGGATTTGAAAATGTGATGGAGAGAGGAATGAGAACAATTCTTACTTTCGTAAAACGTTAAATTGCATCTAAAATTTTCGGGAAAATAGTACTGAAGCCCTAGCAATTTCGAAAAGACTCAAGTTGCCCTAGGATGACCGAACAGATACAAATCTTATAGCGCTGCTTAAAATGCATTTCTAGAGATCTAAAAGCTCTCTGGATACCCTAAAAAGTGTTTTCAATGCGTTTAGGAAGAAACCGTCGTTGGGTGCCCCTGTAGTACTCGATAGCCGCTTCATGTCAACATACTTTGAACACACACACGCAAAAAATAATTCAAGAGTCAGCAGCCTCTAAAATGACTCAACAGAAAGTTTCTGTGAACTATAAGGAAGATTCCATTTAAGATTCCATCACTCATCGTGGAGTAGCCGTCGTTAATTCTCTGCTAATTCAACGGCCTCTGGTAAGACGATCATAAGAGGACATTGTAAATCCACGTAAAAAAAATCGAAGGACGAACAGTTTCAAAATAATGCAAAAATATTCTTCTGTAATCACCATAGAACGATTCTTAGTTCAGAACTTCGCGAACTATTGAACGATGGCTGAGATTTCAGCAGCTAAAAACAGCCTTCCGAAATCTCCGACAGAACTTAAACATAACATAACATATAACATAAAACTTTATTTAAACTGGAATTTTAGAGTAGCTAACAAGCTAATATCTTCGAGCTGACACTACATAAAAACTATATAGAAAATATATATATACATTAAATGCAAGGAAAGAAAATATCATTTACAATTCACAATTTCAAGTTTAAGTATGTCAGGCAAAAAGAATCTACATGAAGGTAACATCCTGTATTTTAGTCTTAAAGTCTGCAAAAAAACTGGTACGAAAGAAGTCCGGCAGTGCATTCCACTGCTTAGCTGAAAAGTAAGAAAAGGAGTTAAGACCATAGGTAGTTGTTTTAGGTTTATTTAGTGAAAGAATGTAGTTGCCACGAAGATCATAGGAAGAGGACCGGAGTGAAAACATATTCTTCATATAAGTAGGAAAATGAGTGAAAAACAAACTCTTATATAACAGAATGAGGAAATTTTGAATGCGTTTGTTAAACAAAGAAGTAGAGCTGACTTTTGAGAGAAGAGTGTTGTATGGAGACGAGTAATCTTCAAGTATAAATCTAAGTATTCTTTTATTTAAAGCTTCGAGCTTATCCGCATCGCGCGCTCCACTAAAGACGGGCCGTCTTTTTCAAGTTTGTTTTCACTGGCTAGCGCATGAGCCACGGGTGACATAGCCCCTTTGCAGACGTTTTGAAATACCTTGTTACATGTAATTTTCGCGACATGTTTAGCTCGCGATTTTCATGTGCGCATATTTCGCGATTTTGCGAAAATTTCGTATTTTGAATCACTTTAATTTCTCGTTTTTGAGTACAACAATTAACATTTCATAAGCAGTTTCGTTTAATACGTCTTTGAAGTAAATAAAATGACTTTATCAAAGGTACAATAACGTCAAAATTAAGAGAAACGCAACAAAAGGAATAAATGCAGCAGTCGCAATGTCCACAAAACGTTTCATGCTTGTACGTGAATTATTGTTCTTGAGTCAATTGACCACAACACCCATTTACACTGACAATTCCTCAGAAAAGTAAAAAATGTGATTTTGTAAACGTTTCAGTGGTAAAAAACTCTATGGACATAATGGACATAATGTGAGTCACTTGATTTTTTCGTCATGTTATGTTCGCGACACTTATTGTTCGCGTCACTTAAATTTCGCGATTTTTTTTTTGTATGGCGAGATTCGCGAAATTAACGTGTCGCGAAAATTTCATTTAATAAGGTACCCGTGAAAAACCTTCAAAAGAATTTGCAGCCTTATACATAAAAATTGTGACTAAATATTAGCAGATGCAGATCGTGAAACATACGCACGTTTAACGTGCACGAGCTATTTTGAATGCTTCAGTGTAACTGTACCAAGAATCTACCTTTTTTGTGCGAAATTGGGTATGCTGTACATGAATGAAAACTCGAAACGCTCAGCTGAGTCGGTGCTCATGCTATATGTTCCCTCTTCTCTATCTTTCCTTCAGACATCTGGTGCAAATTAAACAAATTGTTCAAGTGCAATGAATATCAACTCACAAAACGCTGCTTCGAAGGGAAAGTCGAAGGTTTCCTCGGAGTTACTTTAGACAACGTTGCTCATCGAAGACCGAATAGTTAAGAAATATCACGATTTTTATCCTTGTGGTAGATGGTTGCATCTTCATGATTCACGAGGTTTTCACATGCGATTACACTCAATGCAACAGTCTCTAACTTTGACTACTTAAATTTTCATGTTTTAAAAGCTATTGCTTCTTTTAAAATAGACAAGATCCTATACTTAAGGTATTGGTTACAACACTAAACAGGTCCTCATCCGTTCAAGTTACAATTATTACTGTGAACAGCCAATCTACATGAGATGTAGGGCGCGATCCATTCAACCAACATTCAGACCGGTCCGACCGGGAAAAGTGGTCCACCTCAAAATGTGAACCAGTTTTTTCGAAACTTTTCCGGTGGGACCGAACCGATCTATGGAGTTTTGGACCGAAATTTCCGGAAATTTTGGTTGAATGGATCGCGCCCGTACGGTCACACAGCTGGCACGTTGAAACGTTGGACTTTGCCCCTTTTCGTGGTTGGTACGTAAGGGAGTTCGAGTTATTACACAATAATCTAGTAAGCAGGGTTATAAAAATAGCTCATACACACAATTTGCGCGTGAAGATGTTGGACTTTGGCCTCTTTTACAATTAGTACGTGAAAGAACGCAGATTGTTTACAAGATTAACTTGCTCAAGCGATTTTACGAAATCACCCCCTTTTCGAACATCTGCAATAAAATTATGCATCATTTCATGTTAAGATTGCTGCCCTAACATCATTATTTACTTCCAAGAAAATTATCAAACTGTCGAAATGCTGATTTCTACTCCTGTCATGTTATTCCACTCAATGAGTAAAATTCTCATTATTTTGTCAACTGGCTACTTCCAAGTTTGTTCGCTAACGCTATTGTTTCAACAATAGTTACGCATCTTTACGAAGTCCGACTACTACTAGTAGTTAACAGTATAGCTGCCCCCTCTCTGTATATGGTCGGTCAATAGTATTCTTTGTCGTTGCGTAGGAACAACAATGTAAATACATCTACCTGAAAAAAAAAATGTTATTTCCTACACTACACATAGCAGAAGAGCTATTCCCTTATTTTTCAAAATTACCTATTTCCATGAATACCAAAAACCAATCTTGGCATCTGCATAATGAGATACATAAGAGTGATTGTTATATAGCTGGAAATTTCTTCCCAACAGCGCGCGCTCTCATTGGTTACTTTGTTACATGACACTAACAATGAAACTGTTTCCCGCCAAAATCTCCTAGCGGTCAACATTGCAAAATCTATGACGTCAGAGGGTAACAGTCCATTGTTCCGGCGAATGTTGACCGTCGACTGCCGTTATAGCGAGATTAAATGGATTTCCAGCTTCAAAATTTCCAACTACATGACTGTATATAACAATCTCAAAGCTGAGTTTCTCGGGAAAAAGACCAGTCATTAAGTGTTTAATGTTAATAGGATTTGATCGAGTTATTGTTGAAGTTATTTTTTCTTCCTCTGACTCCTTCTGTTAGGCATTTGGTTTTCATGCTCATGATGGAGAACTGGGATATTTGTGGAAATGCCTTGTGATCATCGGTGGAATATACTCCTTCTTTTTCTTGGAATACGTCATGAGAATGATTGTCAGGTTTAAAGAGCAGTCCACATGTGATAATCATGATAAAAACGAAATGGTAAGTGATCTTATGAGCAATTTGTCACTTGCACAAATTTGTTGAACCTCTACTTTTCGTAGGTATTAAAGACGATAGTAGATTGTAAGCTGGACCTCATTCTCTCTTGTTGTAAGACATTGCAGTAAGATTTTCAACACCACTTGAAGATATTCTGATAGCTATGAATCAATAATACTATCTAATTAATATACATGTATAACAATTATTATTGAAGATATTCTGATAGCTATGAATCAATAATACTATCTAATTAATATACATGTATAACAATTATTATTGAAGATATTCTGATAGCTATGAATCAATAATACTATCTAATTAATATACATGTATAACAATTATTCACCGAAGTGGAGGTGCCTATTGGTGGATATTCAGTGATATTTACCGATCCGAGAAATAAATATCCACCACTAACCACAGGGTAATTGTTTTAGCGAAAACAGTGAGATAATTGAGCACAAAAATGATGATTTTTGACCCATTTACTGCTACCAACGATCAAAATTTTAGCGCAGAATTGATCAAACGGTCGACGCGTTTTCTTCCCGACAAATAAAACGTTTGAATTTGTTTAGCTCTTGCGGGGAAATTTCTTCTGTTTGTATTTAAAACCATTCTTTAAAAAAATAACTATTAGATTTAGTTTTCAGCTTATTTATGAAAATGTCTGCTTGAGAAATAAAGTAAGGCAAGACTTAATTTGCATTTGTAGACAAAACACTCTTTCAAACAGACAAATCCTTACCTGTTAAAACTTCCAAACAGAATTTCGTCACCTTTCTTCGTGTTTTGGAAACAGCTTTTTTGATTATTCGTGAAAAATCGTTAAGGTTGTTACGGCAGCAAACTCGGGAAGCCATTTTGCTCGTACATGAACTTACGCGATTTTGACGCCGTTCGCTCGGAGGATCAGGAGGTGAATAGCACTGGATATCCCGAGTTTAAGCAGACAATCAGAGCGCGCGAAAAACACTACTCACTGTTTAAGTATAGTATACTAAATAAATTTGGCGCGCCTAACTGTGAAGCTTCCGGAGAAAAATAACAAACACAGTTTACTTGCTCCGCTTTAATTTGTGGACATGCAGACCAGACCTGAAAACGCTTTTTGAAAGTTTTCGCCAAGAACCGATTACTTCTGTACATACTATTCGGAAATTAAATAAACTCGTCGTTTGGTAGGACTTATTAAAAATGCAATACTATTTAGGACGGGACCCTCTAGCAGGCCCGTTCTTCCTAATGGTAAGACACTCCAAAATAACACATAAAAGAGATGCTTAGGAAACTGTTAAAAAAGAGGCCATTTTCTTTCTTGCTGCTGCATCGACCTGGCAGTGCACCAATACTAACCTGTCAATTGTTGTTACTTATTGAGATACTGTAAACTGCTGTTTATAACCTCCCTCACGTATAGAGCGTTTTCACATGACGTCATGGCGGCCATTTTGGTGTTCCAAAACAATGAAACGGCGGCTATGTTGGTGTACTAAAGAAAACATCTGGGAGTTGAAATCTTTTCTCATGTAAAAGCTTTCTTTTTTCCAATAAATTTGCATAGACGCTGGCCACTCGAGTGAAAACGCTCTAGAAGGCCCCCACCCCCCCCCAAAAAAAAAAATATAGGCCCATCATATGTATTGACATGAATTCGATTTAATATTGCGTTTTGAAGCTCAAAAACGAATAAATGTAAGACGTATTTTGATAAACACTGCCATAGCTTGTTTCGAAGCGCTTTTATATTCCGGTTATAAGCCCTCCTATTAAACCCCTTACGAAGATCAATAAACCCAGGGTTATAAGTTCCAAGGCTCCCAGTTTATATGCGGCAGTTAACGGTAATTTGTATTCCTTTTTTTTCAAATAAGGACAAGTCCACGGGTGACATACCCGCAGCAGGTATCGCTGATGTTCAGCTTCAACTGTATAAAAAGAACCGTGATCACCATAGTGCCCTTCATAATCATGGCGCTTCCTTGCCAGATGTGAAGATCTGTGGAAATGGGTCAACGCCAAATGGCTTTCCAAATGAGGTATGCCTAGACAAACAAACAACTAACATACTTTTCATATAATGATTATTTTTAACAACCATCAATTCATTAATATGTGGACAATCGCTATTGTAGTTTTTTACTCAGCCTTTCGCGTTGCGTGACAACAACAATTAACATCAAGCTTTATTTTGCAGGACCATACAAGAACATACAGTATTGCAAAAGCTATTTATAATTATGTCTTAAGAATGAGAACTAAAATTTCATCACTGGCCAATTAAACTAATTTGTTAATAATTCGTCGCGAAAGTCAAAGCAAGCAGAAATATTTTTCATGAATTATAAATTAATATAGTAATTAGATGCGTTCATCAGTTCATTGATCAAAACGTTCACAGGTAACTGGGTAATATTTGGAATCAGAATCTTAACTTTATTGTAAAAATTATTCCTAATCAAAGAGCATTTTGAACAATTGAAAAGAAAGTGAATTTCGTCTTCTATTTGATTGGATCCACAAAAAAGGCAATTCCTATTATCTCTAGTAGTTTGATTGTATCCACCAAGTTCTATCATTAGCATGTGGTTACTTATTCGTAGTTTTACCAATTTCTCTCTCAGCTGTTCCTCTCGTTAAGTCTAGGTAATTAGAAGTGGTATGATCGCTTTTAAAAGATCTAAAAAATTCTAGTTTTTGAGAGTGGTGAAGGGTGTTTTGCGTGAAGACACTGAGGAACGGCTCTGTAGAAGACAAAACAATAGGCAACGTACTACCTCGTACTACCGAAACAGGTAGACCACGAATTCAAAAATACGCGTTACAGTTGATTTTGGTGCCAGACGTTAACCACTTAGGTCATGTGGATTTGTTTGTCAGACCAAAAAGGTGAACTCACACGTGGTCACATTCTTTTCTTATTGCTGACTTTGTTGTTTGCTCATCAGAGTGGTCAGAGTTTATATAGCGGTAGAGGGCTGCAACCGAAAGAACTTTCATCCGCAAGCGAAAATTTCTCCATTTTGGTTGACTTAGAACTTAGCCTATCTTTAGCCTCCCAAGTGCTCAGGAAAGTGACCACGTGAGTTCACATTTTTGGTTTGAAAAACAAAGCCACGTGACCCAACTCGTTAACGTTTGGCGACAAAATCAGCTGTCAGGCATATCTCTGAATTCCCGGTGTATTTGTTTCGGTAGTATCAACTCCAAATTACATTGTTTGCAAATCAAACAGTCAAGTGCACGAATTTTTGCATATTTGGAAGTACTAAGTCTTATTTGAGTACTGGTGATGTACCAGGAAATCGTTTCCATCTTACGAAAAGAATACATAAGAATCTAAATTTATTTTTTTAAAATTACATTGGGTGCAAATTATCAAGATATAGAGATTCGAAAATTTGGGAAAAAAGTGGAAGTTGAAAATACGACTGCATTACCAGGAAAGGGAAATTACTCTTTGTTCGCAAATTGTTGGGAGATTGAGGAATAAATGATTTTATGATGGTAAATTAAATTGTAATAATTGTAATGTTTTTTAAACAAAACACAGGCGTCTTCGCAAAATAGCAAAAAATCACACGAGAAGAAGAAAATTGCTCCTGTTGCATGGATGATCATTATTGGTGACGCTCTTCACAACTTTATCGATGGGTTGGCAATTGGTGCTTCATTTTCCAGTTCAAGATATATCGGTGTCAGTACTTCACTTGCGATATTCTGTGAAGAGCTTCCACATGAACTTGGTAAGTACTAACTTTGAAAGGCTATGTTCATACTATAACGGATAGATTTTGCGCCGGCAAGAAAACCATACGGGATAGGGCTTCTGTTCACAAATAAAAGCAGTGAATTGGGCGCGATTTCTGTAACGGAGCGAAGCTGCGCCGCGCCGATCTCGTGAGAAAAGTGGAGAGTCACATAGCGGATAGGTGTCCACACTTAAAACTGGATAGCTTTCTGTGTCGGCACGAAAAGTTATCTGGTACTGAGTGTGAATAGTGGAATTTAGAAAAGTTATCAAAAGAACTGCGAGCAACAAAGTGTTAAGGTATATTATACTACTACAGGAGAAATTTCTGCAATTTGATTGGCTTAGAGCAGTGGTATTTCAGCTTAATTTGAAATACCTACATGTGAAAATTACAAACCTTTTGCGGGTAGTAGTATAAACAAATAATAGCAGGATTTGTACGTGATATTTGGCATAAATACCACTCGTGATATTTCAAAATTGTCTCAAATTTCAATCGCCTAACGGCTCGTGAAATTACGTATAACAATTTTGAAATATCACTCGTGGTATTTATGCCAAATATCACTACAAATCATGCTATTACCTATACTAATTACACTTTCACTGCTTATTACAAAACAACTGAAATTTTTGTCCTGATATAGATAGGGGCGAGCTGCATTCGGAAATTTTTTTTTGATTTTACAAAACGTTTTTGAAATGCTCCCCAGGTGACTTTGCAGTTCTTCTGAATGCTGGTTTGTCATATAAAGCCGCATTGGCCTTCAACTTTTTGTCGGCATGCACTTGTTATTTGGGGCTTGTCATTGGATTGTTGCTAGGTTACACAACGTCCGCTGTCACGTGGATCTATGCTCTTGCTGGTGGATTGTTTGTCTACATTGCTCTTGTTGATATGGTAAGTTGCACCTTAAAACCTAAAGGCCTTCGCAGAAAATACCATAATATTCATTAATGGGAAAGAAAGAATAGAATTTGTGTGGAAGATGAGTTTACGTTTAAAAGCTCGGTAAAGGATAAGGGTCACCTTTTATAGATATAATATACACTTAATGTCAGATCCCAAGGGAAACAGTTAGTTTTGTTCGTCTCGGGAAACATCAGGACTCGAGGGAAAACAAAACTAACTGCTTCCCGAGGAATAATTGATGAGAGATTCTGCATAAAACCAAGCATAAAATCGAGCCAGGAAGAATACCGTCTAGTTTTCGTCATTAAGTATGCTTTTTCCTTCATGCTATTAGGATTCAATTTAATTATATCTTGCCTCATTACTTGAAAAAATTCCTTTAACTAAGAGGTACCTTAAATTGCCTATACAAATTCTATTTGTGATAAAAGTTATCTTGCATGAAACTGGAAAAAACCTGTGAATATAGGTTTTCAAGAATAGTTCCATCTAATGGGCACAGCCTCTCTCCCACGTCGGTAATGGTCGTAAATAAAATCTGGGCATGAAGGAGTAAAATCAAAGCTCCTGACCAGATTCTGGACAGGTTTATCCCATCAGCATAGAATTTTTGAGGACAAAATGCAAACGCTTCTCTCACAAAACATCCCTGTCAGCGACGAGCAATGACAGACAGCTGTTTAGCACGCTACGTTATCACTGCTTTGGGATCATTATCATAAATTATCAAACTTTATCCGCTTCTAACATTTATTTCCTGTTTGTTTTAATGCAGTTACCGGAAGCTTGTGAAATGTCAGCTAAAATCGGAGAACGTTCCATTCGCCGAAACATCAAGGCCTTTGCTCTTCAGAATTTTGGCATACTGCTTGGCTTTGCTATTATGCTTATTTTAGCTCTCTACGGAGAGACAATTTCAGTTAAGTAGAGCATTCTCAAAGATCAGTAACAATTTTAAAATTCAAATTGCAATTGTTGTGTTATAGCGTTGACGTTTCACGTTTTTAAGCCCGTTTTATAACTTTAAATTTATGCTGAAAAGATTGCACAGGAAAGCACATGCGTTTGGGTATAGGTGAGTCGCTGAGAGTTTCAATGACCCTGTTAAGGACCAAAAAATTCCTAAGATACATAGTCTGTTTAGGACAAAGGACAAAATGCACGCCGTGTTGTTTTACAGCCAGTTGTTGACAATTGCCATAGAGCAAATCCACGTTTTTGTATACTTGGAATACAAACAAATTTCATTAAGCAAATTAAATCAATCGTGCAGGCAATACCCTGTTTATAATTAGGAAAGACTCGCACGAAATTGAATATCCTTTTTAGGACAGAATGGCGCGAAATTGTACACCCTGTTTAGGACAGAGAGGACAAAAAACATACCCTATATGGCCTCATAGGCCATACAAAGGAGTACACCCCATAGGCCTTTTCTGCTCACCTCGTGATTACGGCCAGTTTTTCTCTGCCCGGCAAATTCTTTATAAAAAAAACGTTAGGAGCGGTCACCCGTTAATACGGCCAAAAACCACATTTTAAAATCCCAGACAGTAGAATCCCTTATAATTTCACCCCGTTAATGCGGCCACTCGATCGAAATTAAGAAAAATGAAAATGCCTGTGACATGTCAATTTTATTGATCTAGTATCCTAGTCTAAGCTTATTCTTGTCCTGTTTTTAGACTACAGTACACTTAAAATGCACTTCTGGCGATTTATAATGAGTTTGTTTCATGTACTGGAGGAAAATTTTAAGAAGTTTTTTCAATTACTGTACGCGATATCTACATTCCTGTAGTTTATTAATGAGAACAGTACGGTGAATGCGATGTACGGTGTATTCCTGGTGTGTTTGTCATTACGGCCCTCGAGTCATGAAATTTGAGCCTACCCCGGTAATGCAGTCGCCCCGTTAATACGGCCAATGTTTTTGGGCCCATTGGTGATCGTATCAACGGGGTTCCACTGTATTGAAAAGTAAAATAGTTTAAAGTAAACTGTTTAATAATCGGTCCCTATTTTAATAGGAAATTAACAATTTGTTTAAACTATTGTTCTTATTGTCTTTTTCTGTGATTTTTTTTGTCGTAAAAGAGGTAATTTGTAGATTAATTTACTTTATTTATTTTTCTTTTCTTTCTATCATTTTTTTAACAAAACTATATCTACACTATAATGCGCATGGTAACCTAGTATTATCCTAACCCTTCTGTCAATATTTTTATAATTTTGAATAAAATTTGACTTGACTTAATGACTTGGGCTAAAGAGGATCAGTCTGAATATGATTGATTAACAATACCTCCTGCCGGGATACCTAGAACAAGGTAAAATTGACCCCATAAAAAAATTATTTCTTTATGTGGTTGGAATTCAATGTAATATTAATATGTAGGTTTAGCCAAGCCTAAAAGCGAAGCTTCCATTTATATACTCTAAATTTCCTGAAAACAATAAAATTTGAACCAAACGTTTAGCCAGTGCAAAGAAATGTACAAATGTACATTTACCTTCATGAGGGAAGGTTTGGGATATTTCAGAAAAAATACTTTAAAAAGACCTCTACTATCGAGCTAACAGACTAATGTTTACAGCCAAAAAAATAAATGAATCAGTGAATCTAATTCAATCACAGTAGTAGGAATGAAAAGAATTCTTTCGTAGACTGCATCACTCAGGCCCCACCAGACCCTTTTGAGAAGCTGTTAGTCAGCCCATAAATCTACCTGGAGTTACGAAAACCGGGTTAGCAAACATGTTGTAATTTCTCTTAACTTCTGTAACAACTTTACTGAGTTGTTTGCTTACGTCTTTTTTTTTGTTCGCTTTGTGGTTAGGGATTTGTGTAGAAGTGGCTGTAGACAGAATTTCGCGAACTTCTATCTACCCCCCTCCCCCTTCCCCTCACTCCCTCCCTTCGTTTTTTTCTTTTTTTTTTTTTTCGATCCTACCCACAGTTCTCCTTAAGCACCACAGCGCCTTAAGCTGACTTCGGTGCCGTTTAGCAGTTAATATTTCGTTATTGGTCACCTTGAGAAAAGTTTCTCGGAGAGCATCATGCAAAGCTCGGAGATGGGACAAAGTTATTACGATTCGCAGAGTCTGCATCGTCCAATATCATCTTGTATTCTTCTGATTCTTGTTTCATTTGGCTTAACGGATCAATCACGCTGATCCGGGCTGAGACAGAAAGGTACGATTCGTTTTTCTAAGGTTACCACTAAGTGTTTGGCCTCGGGAACAGGCTCTTAGGAGGCAAATGAATTAGGCGAGAGCAACATTGCAGGTGAACCTTGACCCAGGCCAAGACTGGAGCTGCAAGAGAAAAGTTCAGAGGTGTGTATCTGCCAATAGGCTGAGTTTTTTTCCGAGTTATTCGATGATATTTCGCTTGTCTTAAACGTCAGAAGATTATGTGTGGTTGTTGATTGTCTTATCAGTGCCGCGAAAGTGTGTGATTCTGTGATTTCCGCATGGTGTTGCAGGTATGTGGTCGCGTGGTGGAGCTATTTCGCCAAAATATTATGTGCCAGCAATAAAAACGTTTCTTTGGTGTTTAGGTTTGCTGATTATGCCTTGGAAAAGTTACTCTCCATTCAGGAAAATTGGATCTAGGTCCTCAGGTTTCAGCGGGCTCTAACGGCTTTGAACCAAAAGGCCGGTTTTTGCAGATAAGAAGGTGATAATTTGTGTTCTATGCTTCATGCAGTTTGTTGTCTATTCCATGCGAAACCCTGTCGTTCATCGGACCGCGAAAAAACGGACTGATTTGCAAACTATTTAAGTTGTTTTGTAAGCTTTAACCACGCACCTTTTCGCTGCAGTTCACTCAACTTTAAAATTTCTACGTCAGACTGAAATGAAACCAGTTTGAAACTTCACGGAGTCAGATTACCGAATAAATGTTCTAAAATTTGCGTCATTTTAAATTTGGACTCATTGGAATGCCGTCTAGTAACCACTAACTTACTGCCCGGTGTCAGATTAAGGCTTTTAATCGGCCTTTGAATGATGTTTTATTGTTTTAAATTGCCAAGTCGTAGAATAAGCTGATTTTTTTGCTCACCTGGTTTTCAAACATCCGGGTATAAATTACACATAAATCACAAAGGAGGAACTCTAAATTCGTTAAATATCAGTGAAATGTCTCTCATGATTCTCCTATGCATGCATGTTTTTTTGTTGGCAAGCTCACTTAGTCAAAAGGGCATTTTTCTAGGTGTAATCATCCTCATATTTTTTGCATATATCAGCAAAAGGGAGTTCCTTTTGAAGTGAAAATTATTATAATTCTTTTGGCCTCGGAACCACTTCTTGTTGTTTGCTTCCTGAAACGGAACTGTTTTAATTGTGAAACGCTTGAATTACACCGACGAAACGAGGTGTCACGTAGGTATGCCCTGCATAGCGTAAGATACGCATTGACGGCGTCTCATAACATAATTAACAAAAGGTTTTTTGTTTTTTTCAGTCAAATGAGCAAAACAAAAACTTTCTTGAAAAGAGAGAAACATTCTTAAAAAACGTTTTTATGACACCAAAGTACAACATAAAGGGAAAATAGCCTTTTAATTTACGTGAATTCAATTATACTAGGACGAACATATGAGATTATATCATGCTCTCGCTTCATCCGTTACGTTCTGGAATGTCATCTACTTGATTGTCTTTGGGTCAAAATATCTGTAACACTGTGTTTTACATTTTTTGAAAGTCTTTTCGGTCAATGAATAAACACGTTCTGTTGCAAACGAGTTCACGTTATAATCTGGAAATCATGCGTAATTCGAAGCCTCGAAAGAGGTCAAGAGGGCAATTTGAACAAAATCTTAAAAGATTTCAAAACTCTTTCACAGATATCGATAATAAGTATATTCACCAATGGTTTTCTTTGTTAACAGAAATAGAAAAAAAAAAACATAAGCGGTAGCTGATTTTTGGTTACTGCACTGGTCACATTAATAAAAATGAGGACTGTCAGAAGTCTTCATCTTTATCGGGTAGCGTCGTCAATCAGGTTGGTATAAGTACAATCAGCAAAAGAGTAGCTTCTTTTCACTTCTCAATTATTTCAAATTGATAAAAGCCTTTGTTTAAATGGTTCAATTGCACCGAAGCATAAAGTGCTGGAAAAGGCATAAGAGATAAAGAGACCACTGTGGTCACGGACTACTTTTTGTATGCTGATCGAAAAAAGTAGAAACTTTCGTAACATTTCAGTATAACCCCATAAATTTATTATGCATACAGTAATGGTTTCCACAACATCATAGAAACGCCCCCATAACAATGGAATCTGGATATTTTGAGAAGTCGGACAGCTTTCTATTATTGTGTTAATACAATTGTTTACAATGCGTGAAATACTTGCTCATTTGAATAAAAAAGACGCGATACTAATTATGACCATGTAATGAGCAGCTAAAACCGGTATCGTATACTATGAACATAACCTTGTGACACCTTACTGAAGCTTTTCACCACTGATTAACACAGCTTTCATTTCATGAAGCAAACCACAACAGTTAACTGACGTTTCGTGGCTAAAGGAATTGCTACAATTAGCACTTTACACAGGAGCTGCTCTTTTGCTAATTAAAATTCATCAAAGTACTTGCTGAAGGAACTGTTCGAGGTAAGAAATGCTTGTAGAAGGGTCCAAGACAATAAACGTTTATGTTTGTTTTAATTTTTGTTAATAGAGAGATCCACTATGAAAAGCGTATTTTCGATACTTGTGGATTAAGTGCTTTTCAATTTGGCAAGATTTTGTTCAAGCGCATTAGATTGCTTTTTTGATGCTTGAGTTAATCGGTTCATTATGATCGTGAAGGAGAGGGAGTTTAACGACGCTCGGTCGATCTATGAGTTAACTTAATGAAATTTCATTTATCCATCATTTCATCCTCATCTTTCCCGGTTATCTTACGAACCAACTTTATGACCAGCTGCCAGTTGGTTTGCTAGCTTAGTTAATAATTGATTAGAGCGCTTTACCGGTATCACAGATGTCAAGAATCACTGACTGCTGTACTCCTGTATCTCTGCCCTCTTGTTCCCTCCTCGGCTAGCACCTGCTATTTGCGGGGGGAAACTGACTTCATGTATTTCAGTTGTTAATAAATTGTGTGAGTGTGAGTGTGAATCCCGGAAGGACTGAATTTTTCAGGTTTTCTTTTCCCAACTGCATAAGGTTGCGTCCTTAAGTAGCTGCGATCATCTTTACATTTATTTTAACATCTACTGTTCGACTGTTAGACTGTTAGATTGTTTCAATGACCGTCGATTTTCGTCATGTAGATTAGATTTTTACTCTTTTAAGTCATTACGAGTTTTAGTGTAGTGAAACAAAGTTCACTGTTGCTTACCATTAGAAAATACGTGTGCATGGTGGCAAAGTTTTAACCAGCTTTGTCACTCCTAACAGAAAGCAGTCACTGAGTCGTAAGTTAGTTGCTACGTAGCCTTACGGGGCGGCCAGGGGAAAAAACATACGCTAGAAATATGGGTCCTTTTGCATGAGCATTATACGTTGAGGGCACACGGTATACCTAAGTGGAACAATAGGGACATTTATACGAAGAAATAAGACGCAAACTGTCCTGTATACACGGCATATTTCGTCTCTAATAAGACACGACTTAGCTAAGACGGGTCTTATCTTAACATAGTCCTTTACACTTTTCTTAGATAAGACGCGTCTTAGCTAAGCCGCGTCTTATTTGAGAAGAAATGTGCCGTTTATGCAGGACAGTTTGCGTCTTATTTCCTTGTATAAATTTCCGTAATCTGTATCTAGTAGAGTCTGAAAATCGTCACTCAGGACGATAGGTATTAGTAGTAAGTTGTAATGAACTGTTACGGCTTTTTTATTCCATCTCATTATTCGCTGATCAGGGCTGGCAGATGTTAACATTTGGCTGTCAGTAAAATAAATTTAAAGGGGAACCCTGTGCATATTTCTTGGTATTTCAGGGAAGCAGTGGATGAGAATAAAAGTTTGAGAAACAGCTGGTTAAGTATGCAAATTTGACGCGAGTTGGATTCAATCTACGGTCAATAGTGATAAATAGTGAAAATTTGCATATTTTCCAACCCTTCTATCTTCGACACATTTCCACCACCGCAAGTGTTGAGCAACAGATTACAAACCTACAATGTCCTGTGAAATGACTAACAGACGACATTGGTCGTCCTGGGGTGCCAATTTCTCTGAGAACATTTGTGTTCAGAAGGTTCATGAAGGCATTCATTACGACAATCCGGTTTAATGAGTCACCCCCCACTAACTATAAAATCGACCTTTGAAAATCAGCACTGTATCTGTTCTGGAACTGTTTTGCAATTTTTGTTTTTCAAGTTCATTCACAATATAATGACAGGTTACGCTGTTAATGTTAAAATTCCAGAAACAAATTTCAATTACACTAATTAAAAATAAAAGCAGTTCGAGATAACATACTGAAGTGGATGACTGCTGCATTTTTGTGAACCTTAAAAATAAGAGCACTTTATATTAATTAGGACAAGCTTTTGTCCGAAAGCATAGTGGATGACTTCATAGTGGATGACTTCTAGTTCATTACAATACACTCTTTAATGTGAAAGGAAAAGTGTTCATGATAACTTAGACTCCACTAAAGAAATACCAGTCACATCAACCAAGTAAAACCAAGAAAGGCAACTATGTATGGATTAGACAGTTTGACAGAACATTCTACAGTTAATGTCGAGTTCTCAAGGGAATCTGTTAGTTTGAGGTGGAAGGACAGGGGGCTGGGACCCGGGAAAATGGGCCGGGGCGGGAAGGGTGGGAAGCCGGGTGGGAGTTCTAAACGGGTGGAAACAAAACATCAAGGCCTTTGCTCTTCAGAATTTTGGCATACTGCTTGGCTTTGCTATTATGCTTATTTTAGCTCTCTACGGAGAGACAATTTCAGTTAAGTAGAGCATTCTCAAAGATCAGTAACAATTTTAAAATTCAAATTGCAATTGTTGTGTTATAGCGTTGACGTTTCACGTTTTTAAGCCCGTTTTATAACTTTAAATTTATGCTGAAAAGATTGCACAGGAAAGCACATGCGTTTGGGTATAGGTGAGTCGCTGAGGGTTTCAATGACCCTATTAAGGACCAAAAAATTCCTAAGATACATAGTCTGTTTAGGACAAAGGACAAAATGCACGCCGTGTTGTTTTACAGCCAGTTGTTGGCAATTGCCATAGAGCAAATCCACGTTTTTGTATACTTGGAATACAAACAAATTTCATTAAGCAAATTAAAGCAATCGTGCAAGCAATACCCTGTTTATAATTAGGAAAGACTCGCACGAAATTGAATATCCTTTTTAGGACAGAATGGCGCGAAATTGTACACCCTGTTTAGGACAGAGAGGACAAAAAACATACCCTATATGGCCTCATAGGCCATACAAAGGAGTACACCCCATAGGCCTTTTCTGCTCACCTCGTGATTACGGCCAGTTTTTCTCGGCCCGGCAAATTCTTTATAAAAAAACGTTAGGAGCGGTCACCCGTTAATACAGCCAAAAACCACATTTTAAAATCCCAGACAGTAGAATCCCTTATAATTTCACCCCGTTAATGCTGCCACTCGATCGAAATTAAGAAAATTAAAATGCCTGTGACATGTCAATTTTATTGATCTAGTATCCTAGTCTAAGCTTATTCTTGTCCTGTTTTTAGACTACAGTACACTTAAAATGCACTTCTGGCGATTTATAATGAGTTTGTTTCATGTACTGGAGGAAAATTTTAAGAAGTTTTTTCAATTACTGTACGCGATATCTACATTCCTGTAGTTTATTAATGAGAACAGTACGGTGAATGCGATGTACGGTGTATTCCTGGTGTGTTTGTCATTACGGCCCTCGAGTCATGAAATTTGAGCCTACCCCGGTAATGCAGTCGCCCCGTTAATACGGCCAATGTTTTTGGGCCCATTGGTGATCGTATCAACGGGGTTCCACTGTATTGAAAAGTAAAATAGTTTAAAGTAAACTGTTTAATAATCGGTCCCTATTTTAATAGGAAATTAACAATTTGTTTAAACTATTGTTCTTATTGTCTTTTTCTGTGATTTTTTTTGTCGTAAAAGAGGCAATTTGTAGATTAATTTACTTTATTTATTTTTCTTTTCTTTCTATCATTTTTTTAACAAAACTATATCTACACTATAATGCGCATGGTAACCTAGTATTATCTTAACCCTTCTGTCAATATTTTTATAATTTTGAATAAAATTTGACTTGACATAACGACTTGGGCAAAAGAGGATCAGTCTGGAATATGATTGATTAACAATACCTCCTGCCGGGATACCTAGAACAAGGTAAAATTGACCCCATAAAAACTTTTTTTCTTTATGTGGTTGGAATTCGATGTAATATTAATATGTAGGTTTAGCCAAGCCTAAAAGCGAAGCTTCCATTTATATACTCTAAATTTCCTGAAAACAGACAGAATTTCGCGATATTCTATCTATGGAATCTGGATCTTTTGAGAAGTGGGACAGCTTTATATTATTGTGTTAATACAATTGTTCACAATTCATGAAATACTTGCTCATTTGAATAAAAAAGACGCGATGCTAATATTGTGACTATGTTATGAGCAGCTAAAAACGGTATCGTATGGGGTGAGCATGACCTTGTGACACCTTGCTTACTGAAGCTTTTCACCACTGATTAACACAGCTTTCATTTCATGAAGCAAACCACAACAGTTAACTGACGTTTCGTGGCTAAAAGAATTGCTACAATTAACACTTTAAAAAGGAGCTGCTATTTTGCTGACTAAAGTTTATCAAAGTACTCGCTGAAAGAACTGGTCGAGGTAAGAAATACTTGTAGAGGGGTCCAAGGCAATAAACGTTTAAGTTTGTTTTTATTTTTGTTAATAGAGAGATCCACTATGAAAGCGTATTTTCGATACTTGTGGATTAAGTGCTTTTCAATTTGGCAAGATTTTGTTCAAGGGCATTAGATTGCTTTTTTGATGCTTGAGTTAATCGGTTCATTATGATCGTGAGGGAGAGGGAGTTTAGCGACGCTCGGTCAATCTATGAGTTAACTTAATGAAATTTCATTTATTCATCATTTCATCTTCACCTTTCCCGGTTATATTACGAACCAACTTTATGACCAGCTGCCAGTTGGTTTGCTAACTTAGTTAATAATTGATTAGAGCGCTTTACCGGTATCACAGATGTCAAGAATCACTGACTGCTGTACTCCTGTATCTCCGCCCTCCTGTTCCCTCCTCGGCTAGCACCTGCTATTTGGGGGGGGAAACTGACTTCATGTATTTCAGTTGTTAATAAAGTGTGTGAGTGTGAGTGTGAATCCCGGAAGGACTGAATTTTTCAGGTTTTCTTTTCCCAACTGCATAAGGTTGCGTCCTTAAGTAGCTGCGATCATCTTTACATTTATTTTAACATCTACTGTTCGACTGTTAGACTGTTAGATTGTTTCAATGACCGTCGATTTTCGTCATGTAGATTAGATTTTTACTCTTTTAAGTCATTACGAGTTTTAGTGTAGTGAAACAAAGTTCACTGTTGCTTACCATTAGAAAATACGTGTGCATGGTGGCAAAGTTTTAACCAGCTTTGTCACTCCTAACAGAAAGCAGTCACTGAGTCGTAAGTTAGTTGCTACGTAGCCTTACGGGGCGGCCAGGGGAAAAAACATACGCTGGAATTATGGGTCCTTTTGCATGAGCATTATACGTTGAGGGCACACGGTATACCTAGTGGAACAATAGGGACATTTATACGAAGAAATAAGACGCAAACTGTCCTGTATAAACGGCATATTTCGTCTTTAGCTAAGACGGGTCTTATCTTAACATAGTCCTTTACACTGTTCTTAGATAAGACGCGTCTTAGCTCAGTCGCGTTTATTTGAGAAGGAATGTGCCGTTTATGCAGGACAGTTTGCGTCTTATTTCCTTGTATAAATTTCCGTAATCTGTATCTAGTAGAGTCTGAAAATCGTCACTCAGGACGATAGGTATTAGTAGTAAGTTGTAATGAACTGTTACGGCTTTTTTATTCCATCTTATTATTCGCTGATCAGGGCTGGCAGATGTTAACATTTGGCTGTCAGTAAAATAAATTTAAAGGGGAACCCTGTGCATATTTCTTGGTATTTCAGGGAAGCAGTGGATGAGAATAAAAGTTTGAGAAACGGCTGGTTAAGTATGCAAATTTGACGCGAGTTGGATTCAATCTACGGTCAATAGTGATAAATAGTGAAAATTTGCATATTTTCCAACCCTTCTATCTTCGACACATTTCCACCACCGCAAGTGTTGAGCAACAGATTACAAACCTACAATGTCCTGTAAAATGACTAACAGACGACATTGGTCGTCCTGGGGTGCCAATTTCTCTGAGAACATTTGTGTTCAGAAGGTTCATGAAGGCATTCATTACGAAAATCCGGTTTAATGAGTCACCCCCCACTAACTATAAAATCGGCCTTTGGAAATCAGCATTGTATCAGTTCTGGAACTGTTTTGAAATTTTTGTTTTTCAAGTTCATTCACAAAATAATGACAGGTTACGCTGTTAATGTTAAAATTCCAGAAACAAATTTCAATTACACTAATTAAAAATAAAAGCAGTTCGAGATAACATACTGAAGTGGATGACTGCTGCATTTTTGTGAACCTTAAAAATAAGAGCACTTTATATTAATTAGGACAAGCTTTTGTCCGAAAGCATAGTGGATGACTTCTAGTTCATTACAATACACTCTTTAATGTGAAAGGAAAAGTGTTCATGATAACTTAGACTCCACTAAAGAAATACCAGTCACATCAACCAAGTAAAACCAAGAAAGGCAACTATGTATGGATTAGACAGTTTGACAGAACATTCTACAGTTAATGTCGAGTTCTCAAGGGAATCTGTTAGTTTCATGTGGAAGGACAGGGGGCTGGGACCCGGGAAAATGGGCCGGGGCGGGAAGGGTGGGAAGTCGGGTGGGAGTTCTAAACGGGTGGAAAGTGGGAGAAATAACGGGAAATTACTTTTAGATGCTCGTTACAGTTTGCAATTGAAAAAGGGCTTAAGAGAAAAAGACACGAAAAGAGGAGTGGGAGCTGGGAATTCAAGGTACGGGGGCCGGGAGGTCTTTATCCCCTGTTTCCACAGTCTTGTTTTCCAGAGAGAACCTATGCTTCCCCTACTCGAAAGTCGGATTAGGGGAAAACAAAAATAACCGTTTTCTCGGGTACCAGACCCTTCATTTTTTGTTGCATTTTCTTGTGTTTTCTAGATCATTTCTCTTTACCAGTAGATGTATTTCTTTATGTGATAACTTCGAAAATCTTCGCTGTTAAGCCTCAGGGTCCATTTTTGCATTGTTGTGTTAATTCACGAAAGTGAAAACTGGCAGCGTTCTCACCGTCTTATGTCACGCCACTTTCCATCATGCCTTGATCACGTGCTCTTTAAAAATATGGAAAACCCACTAATTGCGGGGAGGATTCAATTAGAACGGTTTATCTCAAGGGAGTTTTTTGAAAAAATAGGTAGTACCTTTCAAGGTATTACTTGTTTTCTAAATTTTACTAAAATCCGAGAAAATTTTCGTACCATTTGGCGACAATTTATACCAGTACTATTCTACTTCCGAGAAGACAGCCACTCCCAAGACGGCTAAACTGCAAAACAGTCCGTATTTTTACGTATTCAAGTACGCGCAAGCAATCAAACAGAAGGTCTGGAACTAGGCTGAAAAAGGAGCATACGACTCTTACACCACGCTTCACCGATTTCTTTGCTGATTTTGAGAAAAAAACCGACTGTTTCTCAGTGTAAAGATGCCGAATTCAAGTAATGAATAAACTGCAAAACAGTCCGTATTTTTGCGTATTCAAGTATGCGCGAGTAGTCAAACAAAAGGCTGGAGTGAGGCTAAAAACAGAGAGCGAAACTGGGGAGAGACGCGGTTTTTTTTTTTTTTTTTCGCTCGCCTCACACGCGCTACGGGCCTGTGAGGCTTGCGCGCTTCGCGCGCATACGACTCTTACGCCATGCTTCATCGATTTCTTTACTGATTTTGAGAAAAAAAACCGACTGTTTTGCAGTCCAAGTAATGAATGGTTTCTATTCCAAATCGTTTATGTCGTGACAGCTGTTTCATTCTCATCATAATCGCCACTGTTACAAGACTTCTTGCAACACAAATATAGCACTCTAGGTGAGAAAGATTGAAGGTTTGGTCGTCGGTGCTTGCGTCTATCTTTGCTTTCGTGATTCGTGCTTTTCGTGATTTAGCCAGGACAACGCACCGTGATTGGTTGAAAACGAGCAACCATTATTTCGGCGGCGATTTCATAGTAACAGCAGCTCCTTTTTCAGTTATTATGAGACCACTCCTAGTTTTGTTCCGACTTGCAAACTTTGATTAGAAACTCGCCGACTTAACATAAAAAAGCATCGAAATAGCCTTAGAACTGGAAAGGTTCTCAGTATACCAATCATCGCAGATGCCTTAAATAGTTGTGTTGTACTTTTAGAACGCGATCTGTTTTTACTGGCAAATTCCTGAAGAGCAAAGTTTAATTAACCTGCGTCATGGAACCAACCGGTTCCACAGTTCATATTGGTAAAACTACCACTACAGTTAAAGACTATGAATAAGTTATAGTCTAAACTCACTCCGAAGTACTACTGCCAACAATTTTGCTATGTCGTTTCCAAAAGAACTACGAGCAGCATGCTTGACTTGACATAATGTATTCGAGGTCTTTCTCTCTCCCTCTCTAGCTCCCTCCGAACTTCGTTGTTTTTCTATGGTTGTCTGCTACAACGTCTTCAACTTCAACTAACTCATCCAAATTTTGGCCACCCAAATAGCTGAACTGTGGACCTGCAATTTAGACATGTTTGGTATAGCCGCCGAGCAAGAGATCTTTTATTGCACTTCCTCTTCACTAAAAAGGTGCGCGCTTCCACCAACGCATTTCCGAGGGTGTTTTTGACTAGCAATTAAAAAACTAATGAAATAATAGAAATTAAAAATTGAAAGTCAGACTAGCCACTACCCAAACAATTTGTTTTCCCCCAAAACACCCGACCTAAGCAAGAAACTACATAATTGACCATTTTCAGTGCTTTATGATATAGCTTTGAAAATGGTCATATGTCTTCTCCAAGTGTCCACTTCTAAACTACATATTTTCGAAAAGAAGTCGATATCACTTGACTTGAAAACAACAACCTAATTAAAACTACCGGTATGGGCTGGACCTTGGAGTCTTAAACCAACCTTTTATTGAAAGAAACTCTTAACGCAAGACAAACCTAAACGCTTAAGCAGTTTTAAAATACTTCGCAGACGTTCAAAAAACAAAAACCTTGAGAGGCCATGATAAACGGATTTAACCTTATGAATAAACAGATTGTACGCTAGATTGAAACAAAAGTAACTAGCCCTTGATTCCTTGTGCTCCTTCTATCCATAACACTTTTGATCCCTATTAGTTTAAACATACGTCACGAACTTTTAGCAGTTTAGACGGGGCTGCCAAAACCATTAGTCTTAGTTTATTTGAAACAGACCAACCAAAAGAAGTAAATGTTCTTGACATGTTCTAGAGAGGAGACTTAAAAAGACACAATTTCTCTTTAATGCGCCTGTAAATAGAAACTTTGTTTAAATAACAGCCCTCACACTTAAGCTTTTTCACCTGTAGGCCTGGTGAAGGACGTGTCATCTGTCAGAGCTCAAAAAACTACACGTGCTCAACTGCATCACAGAAGTGGCGTCAAAAGGGTTTCTCCTTGTCGTAAAACTACTTTACAATGGATTCATGGAGCTCTTGGCAAGTTTTCTCTCTTCTTTGCTTTATTACCCTTATCAGCACGACAGATTGCCATATTTTCTCGCATGTCCACGCTCGGAGCGTAAATGGACCAGGAGCACAATCTTTTGTTCACAGCTTGTTCGGAAAATATGGCACAAACAAATCAATGGACTTGAAGCAGTTTGAAGCTCTGTTAAAAGAACTTAAGGTTGGATCCATCCAAGCTGCAGAATCAGGCCACGGACATCATGAAAGTCATCATGAAAGTGAAAGTGAATCATCACATGGACACCATGACAAAGAAGAAATGGGATCGGATAAGGTAAGCCGACCAAGAACATTAACGATTAGGTACAACTGGTTGGTCAGACCAGTTAATGAGCCATTCGCTAAACACATCTATTATTAATCAGAAATACCCAGTCAGATCAGTACATGCACAACAGTGGGTAAACACTATTACATCATTAGTTTTCTACACATTTTTATATTTTTCCTATTTTTCTTGTACATGTAAATTGATTGTGAAAACCCTATTGGGAGTCTATTGTACTGGGGGGGTAAGGGTGGTGGTATTCAGCATAAGCTCGATCCCCCAAAAAGCCTGTTTGACTTTCAAAATTACCTTACCATCCCGCCAGTTCTGGCTTTCGGTAAACGCTCTTAAACATTTCGAACTTTTTCGACGCCATTTTTGGCGCAAAAGAGTAAAGAAGAGAGTTATAGGAGGGCTTGGTAGCCAGGCGAGACGTTAACTGAAAAAAAAATGGAGACTCAAGTTTTCAGTGGCCTTCGAATGCAGATTTATTTCGGGTTTACGCTTACCCCTGCCAAAAAAAGTAACGTCTGCGTTAAGCCTCCAAAAAGGTTTCTGTGACTGGAAAGTTGTCTACGTTCACAGGCCAAGAGTAAGCTTATAACGGTTTTTAAGTTTACCGCTTTACGTAACACCAGACCAGGCCAAGATAACGTTATTAAGCTTATATATTTCGCACATCCTAACCCCTAAAGCCATATGGGATTGTTTGGACGGTCTAGCTCATTTCATAATTTTTCTTTAACCCTTTGCGTTCTCAGTCAATTACATATAGAGAAAATCTTATAACTTTTGAGTCTGTGAATCAATGGAACGGTATTAAAGTACTTTCAATTGTAAAAATCCTTTTTTAAGCATTGATGAAAGCAAAATTTAAGTATTTCGCTCAAAGTTTTTACATTGACTCATATTTGAATCAAAAGGGATAAGCTATAATCTCTAAAAGCTTCTGTGAAAGCTTATGTTTAATATTTTTTTAAAGTTCGGCTAGAGTAATCGTTTCGCTGTTTAGACTATGCTTACTGTTTATCACTTAAAACAAACAACATCTTCTACGGTTTTGTAGAAGTTAAGACGCGTAGATTACAGACCAGCTGAGACTTCGAATTTCCTAGTAGACTCAACTCAATATGTGTCTGGATCCATCATACGTGACAGTTTTTGACTAGGAATACCTATTTATTTTAGTTTCGAGAATCTATTTTTACAAATCTGTACCTCCGCCTGATATATAAAACAGTTATTTCGAAGAAGCATTTTTCGAGCCGCATGGCAGGAGCTTTACGAGCCAAGCGAGGTGAATGGGGCCTTTCGCGCAAAGCGTGAGACGAGGATCACCTGACACTCTGTGTCGGCCTCTCGCGCTTCGCGCGAAATATCACCCCTCCTGGCTTGGCTCATAAAGCGCCTGTCAAGGCAGGTGCATTTTACTGATACTTTTTTTCTTTCGAGAGAGTAGTTTATAAATTGCATAAAGAATTCTTTACTCTCTCGGTATTTCCCGGAAGGGGGACATGCACTCCCTTATTTTGCCTTGACGGTTATGCGCCCTTGAGCAGCGCATGGTTTTCAGGTTCTTGGACTGGAATCCTTTACAAGAATGTGAAGGTTGGATATTAGCTGTCTACGTCTGTGGTGCCAACAATTTTTTACCAAAAATCCAACTCCACGATGTTAATTAGGTTGAGAAATTACTTAGTTCTGTCAGCGAAACGAATCAGGGTCCTAAAATAAGGTCTCTTGTCTTAAGCGGGGTTCTGGGTCTGAAGGCCTCGGCGGCAAAACTTTACCCAAACTTTCCTTGAGTGCACCCCTCGGGTACGGTCCGTTATGCTTTTCTTGGTTTTGAGCCCGATGTCCTGTAGTTCCTCTGTTGGAATGAATACTTTTGGTTTAGCTTAACAGTCTATGCACTGCGACTGTTCTGAAGGTTGTTGAGGCAGCTTTTTCAGATAGAGCACCCTCTCTGTCTTTTTCGGCCGTGATATATGTCTGAGTGTCCTGGCCTTGAGTATTGCTGACTATAGCACTTGGGATCTTACCCACTTCACGTGGGTAAGGTCCATATTTAGCTCATTTTGAAAATCAAAAACGCCATTTGAGAAATCAAACGCTATCAATTTTGGAAAGATTAGCTGGAAAATCAAAATGAAACACTAAAGCAAAAGATATCTTTCTTTTTAATCAAGTACAAAATATCAAAATCAAAGCAAGAAAACAAGACAAGAATCAAAATAAGTGAATTTTGTAAGTGATACTCCGCGAACACGGTAGACATCAAATTGGGTAGAAGATATTTAATGAAAATATTGTAAATCCCTTATGGGCCATCGGCGCTTGGGACTCATCTAACTCTTTTCTTTTTTTTTTTCTTGAGCTCACAGACACAATGCCCGCCTAATATAGAAAGAAAATATGATGTGATCAAACGAAAGACGATTGCGAGCAGTGCAGCTACTATTGTCGTTGCTGTGAACAAACTAATGGGGATTTGCGTTTGTAAAGATGTTGAGTTAAAAACAACGCAAACGTCCCCTGTGCCTCGTTTTATTTTTAGGTTTGCCCTTGAAAATCTTTTGTTATGACAGAAACAACCCTGTAACAAGCTATAATAAGAGGGCTAGCGATTGAACAAAGAGGTTTTGGAAATTACCACAAATACAGCCGGGATAATTTGTTCATCTACTTTTTGTTGCAGTGTTACTCTGCTGAAGTTCTGTTTGACTCCTTCTCCATTGAGTCAAACAGATTGAACCAAACGTCTTTTGAAAGGATATGCCCAGCAATAGTACAACAAATTGAAAGTAAATCATGTGAAAGTGAAAAGGAGGACAGCGGTGATGAAAGTGAAAGTAAAGCCCAAGGTAAGCACTTACATGTACCTTAATGACTCTCTAAGGTATTTGAGCTCGTCAACTAAGATGTTAACTACGGATATGGGAAATAATTAAAACTGCTGCAGCATCTCACCAGAAAAATGACAATTAAACTACACCAACCACAGCAGAATGCTATGATATAGAAAGCACTGCTTTAAACATCACTGAACCTCATAGCCCGAGAAGACTGGCGGAGAGCAATCAAAACAATTTGATCCACAACTCAGGTGAGGACACTGTAAAACTATCATCCTCTTTACTATAATTATATGTCAGAAAAAAGAGACCAAACTTTATTTTTTCCTACCTTTTCTCCTTGTGAGCATAGCCAATGTAACTTGTGAGCAAACTCAATGCATCGCGCGCACTATAATCAAGTCATTAAAAATTAAAACTGTAACTATTATCGGCAATGTCAGTATCCATTTATTACTATTACTGTAATTATTGTTATTATTATTATATTTATTTCTAGATCATTATTATGATTATCATTTACGTTTTTTTATCCTTAGTCTAACATAAATGTCATGAAAATCGGAGCTTAAAGTTATCAGTAATTCACAGAGCTCCTATTCAGTCATTTTATAACAAGTTCTGCTCATCAAAACCACAGGAATAGAGGAACAGTGTGAAGACATTCAAATGTTTTTACAAGCGTTCACTGAGTTGAGCGTTAATTAAGCTAAAACCTCAACTATGTTTCTTACAAACCCTGATTACATCCTAAAATTGCTTTTGGTCACTGCTTTCTTTTGTTGATTTTTTGTTGTTGTTTTCTCTGTTTTAGCTTGGGGATTTGGTTTCTTGTCTGTGACCATCATCAGTTCTGCATCTCTTCTGGGAGCTTTTATAGTGCCGTTTATGAACAAATCATTTTACAAGATTCTCCTGCTGTTTATGGTGTCTCTTGCTGTTGGTGTGTTGAGTGGAAGTGGAATCATTCATCTCATCCCTCATGTAAGTTCCTTGAAATAAATGAAAACATTATTTTTGCTACCTTTTCTTTTTTCAAATCCCTTCGTAAATCTCCTGTGGTTATAGTGCGGTTTACCCAATAATTCAGGTAAATGTGGCTTTCAAACCTTTCAGAAGGTGAAATGCAGTCCATGTTATTCCGGAATCTATTTTCAAGATAATTTTTACAATTTTTGGCAGACGTTTCTTGCGTCTCTCTCCACTGGAAGGGACTATTGTTTCATTGAACAACAAACCTGATCAAAAAAAACAACCTGGTGTACCTGCTGGGTCTATTTATGGGCACATCGAGGGTGGGTGTGTTTTTGTTGGGATGGAGGGGGTTAGGGGGGAATATAAGATCGTTTCCAGGTTTCAAATCTCCAAAGGCGCCTGTCTCCACGCTGTAATCCACAAACTGAGAAACTGACATCTGAAATTATTAAAGCTGAAAATCCTATTCAACCACGTTTCAGGTAACATCACTTTCACTCTTTATTCAGTTTCCTCACTGCTTGTTGACCGAAACAGTATACTTGTGAACAATTAATTACTGGTAGTTTGTTTAAAGGACAAATTGAATAATTGGACTTCTCCTGGCAATTCAAAGCCTTATTGAAATACTTTGTTACATGTAATTTTCGCGACATGTTTATGTCGCGATTTTGATGTGCGCATATTTCGCGACACTTAAATTTCGCGATTTTGCGAAAATTTTATATTTTGAATCACTTTAATTTCGCGTTTTTGGGTACAACAATTACAATTTCATAAGCAGTTTCATTTAATACGTCTTCGAAGTAAATAAAATGACGTTATCAAAGGAACAATAACGTCAAAATTAAGAGAAACGCAGCAGATGGACTAAATGTCACCAGTAACAACAAAGCAGTCGCAATGTCCACAAAACGTTTCATGTTTGTATGTGAATTATTGTTCTTGAGTCAATTGACCACAACATCCATTTACACTGAAAATTCCTCAGAAAAGTAAAAACTGTGACTTTGTAAACGTTTCACTGGTAAAAAACTCTATGGACATAATGGACATAATGGACATAATGCGAGTCACTTGATTTTTGCGTCATGTTATGTTCGCGAAAATTATTGTTTGCGTCACTTAAATTTCGCGATTTGTTTTTGTGTGGCGAGATTCATGTAATAAGGTACCCGTGAAAAATCTTCAAAAGAATTTGCAGCCTTATACATAAAAATTGCGACTAAATATTAGCAGATGCAGATCTTGAAACATAGGCACGTTTAACGTGCACGAGCTATTTTGAATGCTTCAGTGTAACTGTACCAAGAAGCTACCTTTTTTGTGCGAAATTGGGTATGCTGTACTGTACATGAATGAAAACTCGAAACGCTCAGCTGAGTCGGTGCTCATGCTATAGGTTCCCTCTTCTCTATCTTTCCTTCAGACACCTGGTGCAAATTAAACAAATTGTTAAAGTGCAATGAATATCAACTCACAAAACGCTGCTTCGAAGGTAAAGTCGGAGGTTTTCTCGGAGTTTCTTTAGACAACGTCGCTCATCGAAGACCGAATAGTTAAGAAATATCACGATATTTATCATTGTGGTAGATGGTTGCATCTTCATAATTCACGAGGTTTTCACGTGCGATTATACTCAATGAAACAGTCTTTAACTTTAACTACTTAATTTTTCATGTTTTAAAAGCTGTTGCTTCTTAAAAGCTCGGGGGGACTCCGCATATGAAAGGGGGGGGGATGCTCGTCGTCTCGCTTAGGGGAGTAAATTTCGGATTTGTGTCTCACTTAGGGTGTTCTGGGCAAAACGACATCACATTTGGCCGTGAAGGTCTCGTTTGGGGTTGCACGCGAAAAAATGTAAAAATATATATTTGATACGCATATTTTTAATTCGTTTTATTTACTCCATTCATATAATCCAAGTTTCCTCATTTGTCTGTGTTTTAACATGGTCTCTTTTAGGGGTCAAAAAAAGCTTGGGCCACGCCCAGATCGGTCTCCTTTAAGGGTTTAATTCAAAATTTCCGACGAGCATCCCCACCCTTTCATATGCGAAGTTCCTTCCCCCCCGGCTTAATAGACAAGATCCTTTACTTAAGGTATTGGTTGCAAAACTAAACAGGTCCTTATCTGTTCAAGTTACAATTATTACTTTGAACAGCCAGTCTGCAGGAGATGTTGGATGCGATCCATTCAACCAACATTCAGACCGATCCGACCGGGAAAAGTGGTCCACCTCAAAATGTGGACCAGTTTTTTCGAAACTTTTCCGGTTTCCGAACCGATCCATTGAGTTTTGGACCGAAATTTCCGGAAATTTTGGTTGAATGGATTGCGCCCGTACAGTCACACAGTTGGCACGTGAAAGTGTTGGACTTTGCCCCTTTTCGTAGTTGGTACGTGAGGGAATTCGAGTTATCACACAGTAATCTAGTAAGCAGGGTTATAAAAATTGCTCATGCACACAATTTGCACGTGAACATGTTGGACTTTGCCCTGTTTTACATTTAGCACGTGAAAGAACGAAGACTGTTTACAAGATTAACTCGCTCAAACGATTTACGAAATCACCCTCTTTTCGAACATCTGCAATAAAATTATGCATCATTCAATATTAAGATTGCTGCCCTAACATCATTATTTACTTCCAACAAAATTGTCAAACTGTCGAAATGCTGATTTCTACTCCTGTCATGTTATTCCACTCAAGTGATCAAATTCTCATTATTTTGTCAACTGGCTACTTCCAAGTTTGTTCGCTAACGTTATTAGAGCTGTTAGAGGATGTTAGCATCAACCACGAGTACGAGTACGAGAACGACATCAAGCCGTACTCCTACTCGAAGTCGTTTTCTCAGCTTTCTATGTTAGCGATGACACCGAGTTCGAGTTTATAGAAAATAAAATGATGGGATTCCGCATGACTGGGCGCCAAATTTGAGTCGAGGTAGCGCTTCCACAACAATTTCCAAAACAAAAAATGACTCTAAAAAACGTTCAAATCGAAAATCAATTTTTCGAGGTAACTCGAAGGATGGTTAGTCGCGGTCTTAAAACACGCTAAAACCCATCAAATTCAACACAACAACCACACTGGATAAAGAAGTAAGTATTTTTTATTGATATCTTCGACTGTTGGGATATTTTCGACCAAATAATGGCAGTTGTCGGGGTCATTTCGTGAGCCTGTGAGGCCTGTGGAGAGACATGAAACTTTCCCGGGTAAATGCAAATTTACTCTGTGTAGGAAATATCGCGTTCGGTTGCTTTTCCTCGACTTCAAAAGCAGTATTTTACATAAAACATAATATAGGGAATGTTCAAGATGATAAAGAGAGGCTATAAACGAAAAGAAACGGCATGAAACGATCGGAATTTACCTTTGAAAACCAGCTCTTCCCAGTCGTTCTACCCACTTCGAGTTTTTGGTGAGAACTCGTCCTAGTGCAACTTGACAGGACGACTTGAAAACGTGGAGATGCGCAGAACGGATGCGCAGTACGCAAAATCGCTGATCTCGTTCTAGAACTCGTACTCGTTGTCGATGCTAACATCCTCTATTGTTTCAACAAAAGTTACGCACCTTTACGAAGGCCGACTTTGTAAATTATATATTTTCAACTACTACTGGTAGCTGACACTACAGCTGCCTCCACTCTGTATATGGTCGGTCAATAGTATTCTTTGTCGTTGTGTAGGAGCAACAATGTAAATACATGTTCCTGAAAAAAAATGTTATTTCCTACACTACACATGGCAGAAGAGCTATTCCCTTATTTTTCAAAAATTACCCATTTCCATAAATACCAGAAACCAAAATAGTCTGAAAAATTCTGAACTTTATAAGCCAAATTTAAGGTCTAAACATTTGAGAGAGTGGAGTTCTCGATCGATACGATCCAGGATAAACATGTCAAAAATCCAAGATTGCTAACGTAATTCGTCACTCATGATATTAATAGGTAATCAAATGGTATACTCGTAAAATTAGGGAATAATTTCACGCGCGTTTTGTCCAAATTCTAATAATTTCCAGAGCCTTTAGGCTCGGGAAATTATTAGGATTTGGACAAAACGCAAGTGAAATTATTCCCTCATTTTACTCGTCACCATCTGATTACACATACATATAAGAGTGATTTTTATATAGCTGGAAATTTCTTCCCAACAGCGTGCACTCTCATTGGTTACTTTGTTACATGACACCTAACAATGAAACTGTTTCCCGCCAAAATCTCTTAGCGGTCAACATTGCAAAATCCATGACGTCAGAGGGTAACAGTCCATTGTTCCCACGAATGTTGACCGTCGACCGTCGTTATAGCGAGATTAAATGGATTTCCAGCTTCAAAATTTCCAACTACATGACTGTATAAAAATAACAATCTCAATGTTGAGTTTCTCGGGAAAAAGACCAGTCATTAAGTGTTTAATATTAATAGCATTTGATCGAGTTATTGTTGGAGTTATTTTTTCTTCCTCTGACTCCTTCTGTTAGGCATTTGGTTTTCATGCTCATGATGGAGAACTGGGATATTTGTGGAAATGCCTTGTGATCATCGGTGGAATATACTCCTTCTTTTTCTTGGAATATGTCATGAGAATGATTGTCAGGTTTAAAGAGCAGTCAACATGTGATAATCATGATAAAAACGAAATGGTAAGTGATCTCATGAGCAATTTCTCACTTGCACAAATTTGTTTAACCTCTACTTTTCGTAGGTATTAAAGACGATAGTAGATTGTAAGCTGTACCTCATTCTTTCTTGTTATAAGACATTGCAGTAAGATTTTCAACACCACTTGATGAAGATATTCTGATAGCTATGAATCAATAATACTATCAAATTAATATACGTGTATAACAATTATTCACTGAAGTGGAGGTGCCTAGTGGTGGATATTCAGTGAAATTTACCGAGCCGAGAGGTAAATATCCACCACTAACCACCGACACTGAGGTGAATACGGTAATTGTTTTAGTGAAAACAGTGAGATAATTGAGCACAAAAATGATGATTTTTGACCCATTTACTGCTGCCAACGATCAAAATTTTGCCGCGAAATTGATCAAACGGTCGACGCGGTTTCTTCCCGACAAATAAAACGTTTGAATTTGTTTAGCTCTTGCGGGGAAATTTCTTCTGTTTGTATTTAAAACCATTCTGTAAAAAAAAAAAACTATTAAATTTAGTTTTAAGCTTATTTATGAAAATGTCTGCTTGAGTAATAAAGTAACGCAAGACTTGATTTGCATTTGTAGACAAAACACTTTTTCACCGGTTTCGTCGATAAATTCAAGTCAAACGGACAAATCCTTACCTGTTAAATCTTCCAAACAGAATTTCGTCACCTTTCTTCGTGTTTTGGGAACAGCTTTTTTGATTATTCGTGAAACTTCTTTAAGTTTGTTACGGCAGCAAACTCGGGAAGCTATTTTGCTTGTACATGAACTTACGCGATTTTGACGCCGTTCGCTCGGAGGATCAGGAGGTGAATAGCACTGGATATCCCGAGTTTAAGCAGACAATCAGAGCGCGCGAAAAACACTACCCACTGTTTAAGTATGGTATACTGAATAAACGACATGTAGGCCAGACCGGAAAACGCTTTTTGAAATTACTTCTGTACATATTCTTCGGAAATTAAATAAACTCGTCGTTTGGTAGGACTTATTAAAAGTGCAATACTCTTTAGGACTGAACCGTCTAGCAGGCCCGTTCTTCCTAATGGTAAGACCCTGCGTCACTCCAAAATAACACATAAAAGAGATGCTTAGTAGACTGTTAAAAAAGAGGCCATTTTCTTTCTTGCTGCTGCGTCGACCTGGCAGTGCACCAATACAAACCTGTCAATTGTTGTTTGAGATACTGTAAACTGCTGTTTATAACCTCCCCCACGTATAGAGCGTTTTCACATGACGTCATGGCGGCCATTTTGGTGTTCCAAAACAATGAAACGGCGGCTATGTTGGTGTACCAAAAAAAAACATCTGGGAGTTGAAATCTTATCTCATGTAAACGCTTTCTTTTTTCCAATAAATTTGCATAGACGCTGGCCACTCGAGTGAAAACGCTCTAGAAGGCCCCCACCCCCGGCCCCCCCCCAAATATAGGCCCATCATATGTATTGACATGGGTTCGATTTAATATGGCGTTTTGAAGCTCAAAAACGAATAAATGTAAGACGTATTTTGTTAAACACTGCCATAGCTTGTTTCGAAGCGCTTTTATATTCCGGTTATAAGCCCTCCTATTAAACCCCTTACGAAGATCAATAAACCCAGGGTTATAAGCTCCAAGGCTCCCAGTTTATATGCAGCAGTTTACGGTAATTTGTATTCCTTTTTTTTTCAAATCAGGACAATACCACGGGTGACATACCCGCAGCAGGTATCGCTGATGTTCAGCTGCAACTGTATAAAAAGAACCGTGATCACCATAGTGCCCTTCATAATCATGGCGCTTCCTTGCCAGATGTGAAGATCTGTGGAAATGGGTCAACGCCAAATGGCTTTCCAAATGAGGTATTCCTAGACAAACAAACAACTAACATACTTTTCATATAATGATTATTTTTAACAACCATCAATTCATTAATATGTGGACAATAGCTATTGTAGTTTTTTCCTCAGCCTTTCGCGTTGCGTGACAACAACAATTAACAGCAAGCTTTATTTTGCAGGACCATACAAGTACATACAGAATTGCAAAAGCTATTTAATATATAGATTTAGCCAGGGCTAAAAGCGAGGCTCCCATTAATAAATTTATAATTTAAATTAAACAATAAACTTGTATTCGAATTCCACAATTCAGTTAACTTTAGAGCACATTTATGTGACTTTTGAGGGAAAGGCTACCTGATTTTAAAGAAAAATAATTTGCAAACAGCCCAAGAGTGAACCAAATCTTACATCGAGTTGATAGCCTCATATGTACACCCAAAAACTGGTAATCATCTTCGATTACATTTAAGAGCCATAATGGCTCTTGATCTCCGTAGATTAATTGGTGGGGAAAAAAAATCAGGCCAACTTTTTTGCGTTCGACAAGTTTACTTTGCAAAATCTTGTCAACAAATCTGGGTGCGTGTAAACCAACCTTTTATACCATTTATACATCACATCTGAGGTGAAACAGTAGTATGAGGCACGGTTTTTATCATACTGGCAGACCTCGGACAGAAAGCAGTATTTCACAATACAATTGCACTCATTCAATATTCATAAACTGTTAAAATAATTTCCATCCGGTTCTCACTTTTGTAGTGCGAGCTGTGGCGAGTGTTTGAATGAACATTAACAGAGTTACGCTCCAACATTATAAAGAATTTATTCTGTTTATTTTTTATTCAATGGTTTATTAACGCGCGGAATTTTGAGTACTCCTGCAAGCGATGTTCACTGAACGACTGAAAACAATCGGCACAGCGATTAAAATTACAAGAGAGACTACTAACAATCAATGAAAGAAATATAATTCAGTGAAACATATACAGAAACAACAATTTTCATTCAGGAAGACAAGTATTAAAGTATCCCTAAAAATCCTGAGTCTTCAATCTTCAAGCTTAAGTTTGTGTTTTAAGCCGGCTTCCCGGTGTTTGCTTTTTTCAAAGACGAACTCGAGGCAAGAAAATCGCTCAAAGCTTTCTTTTCCGGCCAGAATTATAACTAAATATTCTTTGGAACGTTTTCTTTCTATCTGCGGTGAGAAACTGTCTAAAGGCATTTTAAAGTTCTGTTAAAGCTTATATCAAACCTGATACTCGGTCAGATCATTGTCTCAAATCTTACAAACGTGCAGAAACTAAATGACCGCATAAACTCCGCTCGACTTCATTAAATTAGATCCAAAAAAACAAACATCAAATACAAGATTTTCTCTGGCTTACCATTCGAGATGCAGCTCCTGAAAGGCATCAAGAAAAGCCAGTATCGCTTCAGACTTTGCAATCCTCTTACGCATCAAGCAAGGTGAAAACGAAAACGATGCCATCCGAAATCGGATTTCCGACTTTGACAAGCGACGTATTCCTCAACCAAATACCCAATAAACAAACTAGCCATGAATAACAGAGGACTCCTGATAGCAGCTGAATTTCATTTTGCACATCCAGTGGAAAAAGACAGTTAAAAACATCACAAGTTGACACAAAACTCTGTCAGCTTCAGCTGTCAAAGTAAACAAGATTCAAGATGCTGCATAAATTTTCCGCATGAACTCACCTGTCAAATTTTGACCAATCAGAGCATAAACATTGGACGTAGAGCGTGACCAACGCGTGACCATGGTGAGTAAAGTCAAAAGCAACTGTCTTCCCTGCCTGTAACAGCTGGCTGAATTTTCGCGTCCGAGGTCAGTTTGCAATCAAAATTGTAATTGTGTAGCACATAAACACAACATATTTCATATGAATTTAGAAAAAAATTGAACTTGAGCCTGCGATCACTTGAAAACTGGTAACTTGTCAGCGGATAACTTAAAAAATATACTTGACCTCGATGGGTCGACACCTGAGCCCGCGATACGGTCAAGTGATACTGGTCAGCGGGTACCCTGTTTTGACAGCTGTCAATTGATCAAAACATTGATGTCCAATATGTCTGCATTATCAGTTTTACTAGTAAAAGTATGAGATTGAACATTGATCTAGTAAAACAATTAACTGGTCAGCGGACAGCTTCCAAATAAATCACGTCACCTCGAGGAGTTGACACATGAGACCGCGATATGGTCATGGGATACTGGTCAGTGGCTATCCTGTTTTGACAGCTGTCAATTGACCATATTGTGAATGTCCTAAAATCCCCCTCTAAAATCCTATATTAAAGATGTGGACTTGCCAAGACACGCCTGAGACACCCCTCCCTTCCTTTTGATAATCTCCCCTACCCCACCCGTACAATCTGTAGACGCGTACGTACGTACGTACGCTCGGTCAATCACGTGACAACCAAACGAAAAGAGGTTGACCATATTCCATGAGTATGGGGCTCTGTCCCACGCGCGCTTCGCGCGCGCGGGAGCCCCGCTATAATTATGTCTTAAGAGTAAGAACTAAAATTTAATCACTGGTCAATTAAACTACTTTGTTAATAATTCGTCGCGAAAGTCAAAGCAAGCAGAAATACTTTTTATGAATTATAAATGAATATAGTAATTAGATACGTTCATCAGTTCATTGATCAAAACGTTCACAGGTAACTGGGTAATATTTGGAATCAGAATCTTAACTTTATTGTAAAAATTATTCCTAATCAAAAAGCATTTTGAACAATTGAAAAGAAAGTGAATTTCGTCTTCTATTTGATTGGATCCACAAAAAGGGCAATTCCTATTATCTCTAGCAGTTTGATTGTATCTACCAAGTTCTATCATTAGCATGTGGTTACTTATTCGTAGTTTTACTAATTTCTCTCTCAGCTGTTCCTCTAGTCTAGGTAATTAGAAGTGGTATGATCGCTTTTAAAAGATCTAAAAAATTCTAGTTTTTGAGAGTGGTGAAGGGTGTTTTGCGTGAAGACACTGAGGAACGGCTCTGTAGAAGACAAAACAATAGGCAACGTACTACCTCGTACTACCGAAATAGGTAGACCACGAATTCAAAAATACGCGTTACAGTTGATTTTGGTGCCAGGCGTTAACGACTTAGGTCATGTGGATTTGTTTGTCAGACCAAAAAAGGTGAACTCACACGTGGTCACATTCTTTTCTTATTGCTGACTTTGTTGTTTGCTCATCAGAGTGGTTAGAGTTTATATAGCGGTAGAGGACTGCAACCGAAAGAACTTTCATCCGCAAGCGAAAATTTCTCCATTTTGGTTGACTTAGAACTTGGCCTATCTTTAGCCTCCCAAGTGCTCAGGAAAGTGACCACGTGAGTTCACATTTTTGGTTTGAAAAACAAAGCCACGTGACCCAACTCGTTAACGTTTGGCGACAAAATCAACTGTCAGGCATATCTCTGAATTCCCGGTGTACTTGTTTCGGTAGTATCAATTCCAAATTACATTGTTTGCAAATCAAACAGACAAGTGCACGAATTTTTGCATATTTGGAAGTACTAAGTCTTATTTGAGTACTGGTGATGTACCAGGAAATCGTTTCCATCTTATGAAAAGAATACATAAGAATCTAAATTCATTTTTTTAAAATTACATTGGGTTCAAGTTATCAAGATAGAGATTCGAAGATTTGGGAAAAAGTGGAAGTTGAAAATACGACTGTATTACTAGGAAAGGGAAATTGCTCTTTGTTGGCAAATTATTGGGAGTGTGAAGAATAAATGATTTTATAACAGTAAATTAAATTGTAATAATTGTAATGTTTTTTAAAAAAAACACAGGCGTCTTCGCAAAATAGCAAAAAATCACACGAGAAGAAGAAAATTGCTCCTGTTGCATGGATGATCATTATTGGTGACGCTCTTCACAACTTTATCGATGGGTTGGCAATTGGTGCTTCATTTTCCAGTTCAAGATATATTGGTGTCAGTACTTCACTTGCGATATTCTGTGAAGAGCTTCCACATGAACTTGGTAAGTACTAACTTTGAAAGGCTATGTTCATACTATAACGGATAGATTTTGCGCCGGCAAGAAAACCATACGGGATAGGGCTTCTGTTCACACATAAAAACAGTGAATTGGGCGCGATTTCTGTAACGGAGCGAAGCTGCGCCGCGCCGATCTCGTGAGAAAAGTGGAGAGTCACATAGCGGATAGGTGTTCACACTTAAAACTGGATAGCTTTCTGTGTCGGCACGAAAAGTTATCTGGTACTCAGTGTGAATAGTGGAATTTAGAAAAGTTATCAAAAGAACTGCGAGCAACAAAGTGTTAAGGTATATAATTACACTTTCACTGCTTATTACAAAACAACTGAAATTTTTGTCCTGATATAGATAGGGGCGAGCTGCATTTGGAAATTTTTTTTTGATTTTACAAAACGTTTTTGAAATGCTCCCCAGGTGACTTTGCAGTTCTTCTGAATGCTGGTTTGTCATATAAAGCCGCATTGGCCTTCAACTTTTTGTCGGCATGCACTTGTTATTTGGGGCTTGTCATTGGATTGTTGCTAGGTTACACAACGTCCGCTGTCACGTGGATCTATGCTCTTGCTGGTGGATTGTTTGTCTACATTGCTCTTGTTGATATGGTAAGTTGCACCTTAAAACCTAAAGGCCTTCGCAGAAAATACCATAATATTCATTAATGGGAAAGAAAGAATAGAATTTGTGTGGAAGATGAGTTTACGTTTAAAAGCTCGGTAAAGGATAAGGGTCACCTTTTATAGATATAATATACACTTAATGTCAGATCCCAAGGGAAACAGTTAGTTTTGTTCGTCTCGGGAAACATCAGGACTCGAGGGAAAACAAAACTAACTGCTTCCTGAGGAATAATTGATGAGAGATTCTGCATAAAACCAAGCATAAAATCGAGCCAGGAAGAATACCGTCTAGTTTTCGTCATTAAGTATGCTTTTTCCTTCATGCTATTAGGATTCAATTTAATTATATCTTGCCTCATTACTTGAAAAAATTCCTTTAACTAAGAGGTACCTTAAATTGCCTATACAAATTCTATTTGTGATAAAAGTTATCTTGCATGAAACTGGAAAAAACCTGTGAATATAGGTTTTCAAGAATAGTTCCATCTAATGGGCACAGCCTCTCTCCCACGTCGGTAATGGTCGTAAATAAAATCTGGGCATGAAGGAGTAAAATCAAAGCTCCTGACCAGATCCTGGACAGGTTTATCCCATCAGCATAGAATTTTTGAGTACAAAACGCAAACGCTTCTCTCACAAAACATCCCTGTCAGCGACGAGCAATGACAGACAGCTGTTTAGCACGCTACGTTATCACTGCTTTGGGATCATTATCATAAATTATCAAACTTTATCCGCTTCTAACATTTATTTCCTGTTTGTTTTAATGCAGTTACCGGAAGCTTGTGAAATGTCAGCTAAAATCGGAGAACGTTCCATTCGCCGAAACATCAAGGCCTTTGCTCTTCAGAATTTTGGCATACTGCTTGGCTTTGCTATTATGCTTATTTTAGCTCTCTACGGAGAGACAATTTCAGTTAAGTAGAGCATTCTCAAAGATCAGTAACAATTTTAAAATTCAAATTGGAATTGTTGTGTTATAGCGTTGACGTTTCACGTTTTTAAGCCTGTTTTATAACTTTAAATTTATGCTGAAAAGATTGCACAGGAAAGCACATGCGTTTGGGTATAGGTGAGTCGCTGAGGGTTTCAATGACCCTGTTAAGGACAAAAAAATTCCTAAGATACATAGTCTGTTTAGGACAAAGGACAAAATGCACGCCCTGTTGTTTTACAGCCAGTTGTTGGCAATTGCCATAGAGCAAATCCACGTTTTTGTATACTTGGAATACAAACAAATTTCATTAAGCAAATTAAATCAATCGTGCAAGCAATACCCTGTTTATAATTAGGAAAGACTCGCACGAAATTGAATATCCTTTTTAGGACAGAATGGCGCGAAATTGTACACCCTGTTTAGGACAGAGAGGACAAAAAACATACCCTATATGGCCTCATAGGCCATACAAAGGAGTACACCCCCTAGGCCTTTTCTGGTCACCTCGTGATTACGGACAGTTTTTCTCGGCCCGGCAAATTCTTTATAAAAAAACGTTAGGAGCGGTCACCCGTTAATACAGCCAAAAACCACATTTTAAAATCCCAGACAGTAGAATCCCTTATAATTTCACCGCGTTAATGCGGCCACTCGATCGAAATTAAGAAAATTAAAATGCCTGTGACATGTCAATTTTATTGATCTAGTATCCTAGTCTAAGCTTATTCTTGTCCTGTTTTTAGACTACAGTACACTTAAAATGCACTTCTGGCGATTTATAATGAGTTTGTTTCATGTACTGGAGGAAAATTTTAAGAAGTTTTTTCAATTACTGTACGCGATATCTACATTCCTGTAGTTTATTAATGAGAACAGTACGGTGAATGCGATGCACGGTGTATTCCTGGTGTGTTTGTCATTACGGCCCTCGAGTCATGAAATTTGAGCCTACCCCGGTAATGCAGTCACCCCGTTAATACGGCCAATGTTTTTGGGCCCATTGGTGATCGTATCAACGGGGTTCCACTCTATTCAAAAGTAAAATAGTTTAAAGTAAACTGTTTAATAATCGGTCCCTATTTTAATAGGAAATTAACAATTTGTTTAAACTATTGTTCTTATTGTCTTTTTCTGCGATTTTTTTTGTCGTAAAAGAAGCAATTTGTAGATTAATTTACTTTATTTATTTTTCTTTTCTTTCTATCATTTTTTTAACAAAACTATATCTACACTATAATGCGCATGGTAACCTTGTATTATCCTAACCCTTCTGTCAATATTTTTATAATTTTGAATAAAATTTGACTTGACTTAACGACTTGGGCTAAAGAGGATCAGTCTGGAATATGATTGATTAACAATACCTCCTGCCGGGATACCTAGAACAAGGTAAAATTGACCCCATAAAAAATTTTTTTCATTATGTGGTTGGAATTCAATGTAATGCTTCCATTTATGTACTCTAAATACTCTATATACTCTAAATTTCCTGAAAACAATAAAATTTGAACCAAACTTTTAGCCAGTGCAAAGAAATGTACAAATGTACATTTACCTTTATGAGGGAAGGTTTGGGATATTTCTGAAAAAATACTTTAAAAAAACCTCTACTATCGAGCTAACAGACTAATGTTTACAGCCAAAAAAATAAATGAATCAGTGAATCTAATTCAATCACAGTAGTAGGAATGAAAAGAATTCTTTCGTAGACCGCATCACTCAGGCCCCACCAGACCCTTTTGAGAAGCCGTTAGTCAGCCCATAAATCTACCTGGAGTTACGAAAACCGGGTTAGCAAACATGTTGTAATTTCTCTTAACTTCTTTAACAACTTTACTGAGTTGTTTGCTTACGTCTTTTTTTTTGTTCGCTTTGTGGTTAGGGATTTGTGTAGAAGTGGCTGTAGACAGAATTTCGCGATATTCTATCTACCCCCCCCCCGCCCCCCTCCCCTTCAGTTCTCCTTAAGCACTACAGCGCCTTAAGCTGACTTCGGTGCCGTTTAGCAGTTAATATTTCGTTATTGGTCACCTTGAGAAAAGTTTCTCGGAGAGCATCATGCAAAGCTCGGAGATGGGACAAAGTTATTACGATTCGCAGAGTCTGCATCGTCCAATATCCTCTTGTATTCTTGTTTTATTTGGCTTAACGGATCAATCACGCTGATCCGGGCTGAGACAGAAAGGTACGAGTCGTTTATCTAAGGTTACCACTAAGTGTTTGGCCTCGGGAACAGGCTCTTAGGAGGCAAATGAATTAGGCGAGAGCAACATTGCAGGTGAACCTTGACCCAGGCCAAGACTTAAGCTGCAAGAGAAATGTTCAGAGGTGTGTATCTGCCAATAGGCTGAGTTTTTCCAAGTTATTCGATGATATTTCGTTTGTGTTAAACGTCAGACGATTATGCGTGGTTGTTGATTGTATTATCAGTGCCGCGAAAGTGTGTGATTCTGTGATTTCCGCGGCGTGTAGAAGGTATGTGGTCGCGTGGTGGAGCTGTTTCGCCAAAATATTCTTTGCTGCAATAAAAACGTTTCTTTGGTGTTTAGGTTTGATGATTGTGCCTGGGAAAAGTTATTCTCGACCCAGGAAAATTGAATCTAGGTCCTAGTTTCAGTGGGCTCTATTCCATGCGAAACCCTGTCGTTTATCGGACCGCGATAAATCCGGGTGTAAATTAAACTTACATCACAAAGGAGCAACTCTAAATTTCGTTAAACATTAGTGAAATGTCTCTCATGATTCTCGTATGCATGCATGTTTTTTTGTTGGCAAGCTCACTTGGTAAAAAGGGGCACTTTTCTAGGTATAATCATCCTCATATTCTTTGCATATGCTCTAAGTCATTATAGAGTGATGACAGGCTACTATGTGACTTTGAAATATCAGGCAAAACCCAGAACTATTACCCGAAAAGTGTTTGCAACTTTAAAGTGACTCGATTCTACTTAATTTTCCTTTGCAAACAACATAATTGGACTTTATGCACTTATTCAATTGAGATATTAATAGATTTTTAATATTTTTCATTTCATGCTTGTGATATGTAAACCACTTCATTTTTTCCCCTTTTTGGCATTGCAAAGCGCTATGAGCTCAGGATGTGAACACTATATCAATTAAGCTATTATTATAATTAAACCAACTAAAGGTGCATTAATTAAAACAGTTTTAGCTCTCCGTTGCTTCCGTTGCTTACCGTTGCCATGGCAACGCATAGTTCAGGTTAAATAGCGTGTGATAAACAAGACGCAAATAGTAAATAGGTTGGTATGACTGACAGAAATAATACTACGTCTTGATAAACGGAGAAAAATGAATTTCATTGAATTTTCATGAATTTTAATTAATTGTGGTTTCTAAGAAAATCGACGCAATTCCCGCTTGGCACTATATCTGAAAATGCTTGTATTGGTGACCACTATCAGTGTGCCAAAGTTCATGCTTGTATCTAAAAGTGCTCAATTCACCCGAAATTTTGAGTTATGCCGCCACACTAGAATTTCAGATGCGTCATGGCAAAATCGGTCAACAAGGTCAACTGCAAAAACCAGTCTCGCTGGTTTGGTCACATAAACCTGTTTTTATGGTTTCCCATGTCTTTCTTTTAGTTTTATTGAGACTGGTTTCAACAAATTCCAAGGGATTATAAAAGCTTTACCATAATTGGACAGCCCTTCTTTAATTCAATAAATGCGGTCCCAAGGGAAATACAGACTCCTCCAGTAGAAATAAAAAGAGAACATGAAAAGTGGCCCTGATTTTCATTGTTATTACTATTGTTATTATTTTTTTTTTATTATTATTATTATTATTTGGACTTCATTTCAAACAAAGGTTGGCTGGATAAATCGAGTATTGTACAATAAGAAAAGGAATGGAGGTGTAGGATTGGCAACTTTGGTCTGCGCAGGAGTTTGTTTTTCAAGCAAACTACTGTTTGGTATTAACAGAAACTCATAAAGGGTTGAAACGTGTAACTCTCATATGTTTGCTTTGTCCGATGCTCGTAATTATTCATTTTCGAAAGTACCATATTTGGAACGAGAAGAAGAGATAACTGACCAATCAAACTTCGTAAACAACGTGACATAGTTTTTTGTCTTTTAACGCTGTATTTTTAAGCCTGAAATGCAGAACTCTTGTCTTAAAACATCTGCATGATGATCGCGCGGCAGCTATTGTGTTGAAAATGGATATCTGTCACTAAGGTTTCCAAATATGGTACAATTGAATATTCACGAGCATTGAACGCGAGTTACACGTTTCAACTCCTTGTGAGTTTCTGGTATTAATATAAGACAATAGGGCCATTTATACGAGGAAAAATAAGACGCGTCTTAAATAAGACGCGAACTGTACCATTTATACGAGCATGTCTTATCTAATAAGACCCGTCTTAGCTAAGCCGCGTCTTATTTTAGACGAAATGTGCCGTTTATACGGAAAGTTCGCGTCTTATTTAAGACGCGTCTTACGGAAGACGCGTCGTATTTTTCCTCGTATAAATGGCCCTAATATTTACTCACTGAATGATTTTTTCTTCAGAGGGCTACTTAAAGATTATTTTGCCCTAAAATCACCCAGCCCTTCCACTCTACTTATTAAACATTAGGCAAAGATTTGAAAGATTTCTTCTCATAGGTTTCAAATTACTTTTTTGTTTGAGTAAATTATAAGCTTTTTTAACCAGAGCTTCGCCTTTAGCATTGGCTAAATATATTAGCTTCCTCTACTTATATTATACTTATACGTTTCTTCAAGACTTCAATGAACAATGTAATCATTAATTGTCTATCATAACAGGCCCCTTATGTCTACATAACATGAAATAATTGAATATACTAGTGTACTACATGTGAAGGAACTAATAGACAAAACAAATGACGGATGGGATCTGTTTTCCTTTTATTTTATTTCATAATTATTTTATGGCAGTTTGGTTGGCCTCAGTGTTGCTCCTTTTTTAATATTACATTATAATGCTGACCTGTGAGGACGTCTTTTCAACCAAACTAAATTTACTACCTTGAAAATTTTACTCTCCTGTAAGTGCTGCAAGTCTATTTGTAAAACATTTAGTAAACTACAAAAAGAGGCCTTTCACTTAAAGACAGACCACAAAAAGAATACTTCCACTTGATAATTTGTCTGACAGACTTCACTTGGAGCTATTAATTTTTTTATGTATATAAATGAGGTCCGCTCGGTTTCATTTATTTATTTATTTCTATTTGTTTACGAGACTTGCACCAACCAAACAAAAACATGCGCAACAAAAATAATACCGAAGGCCATACAAGAGGGCGAAGTTCCAATTCAAGTAATTGCACTTGAAAAGAAAGAAAAAAAACGTAGATTGTAATTACATCTTTTCTAAAATTAAGAGAGTTAAAATAACTTTGAAATAGAACTTACATTAAAGTAGCTTTAAATAGAGACAAACTATTTCACATAGATTAGTATAAAACGATACAGTTTCAGTAATTAAACTTGGTTTACTTGACAATAAGTTGCAGTTCCAAAACGCCAAAGGACGTAACTTACATTAGTCATCGCTCAATCAAATGTTTCCGTTAATCCATACCTGGCCGAAGTCTTGTAAAGACTAGTCTAATTCCTTGCCACCTAACTTCTTCTACTGATTTCGTTTCTAACGCCAGCTCAAGGACCAAAAAACAAAAAAATCACAATATCGTATCAATAAATCGTTACTTTTTCTTGTCCTTTTAAGGTAAGGGTTAATTTCGCTCGCGTAGGCGAGAGTGACACATTCCTATTGGCTTACTTAAGGAAAGCAAAAGCAAATCACATGAACATCATGTGCCCTCGCCTCTAAGTTAAATAGGAAAACATCCACTTATCCAAAGCACCATTTCAAGGCGTTGCCGCTGTGAAGTTGGCTGCGTTGAAATAACCATTCCCACGTTTCAGTCATTTACACACCGAAATCACAAGGTAAGTCACTACAGACTAAACCATAAAACTAGTAAGCAAATGTTATTAGCAAATTATTGGTATGAAACAGTAAATAATGCTAGGATCCATTCAGTAAATGTTTATCACTCGAATAGGTGAGATGACCGAGATAGGCCACCTTTTTTCCTTACTCTTGAATAAAATCCGTGTACCAATTCCCCGTATGTATTTTAGATTGTTTGATTTCCTCCTTTTTATTATGTACCACTAGTTTTAACACAAGCAAGCGTTTGTGATACAGCTTCGATCTTGGAGACGTGGACTTGGCCGCGGTAGCAGTGCTACCTTCATATTGGATCCCACACACATTTACATATTATTATTTAAGCCGTTCTGACTTTTAGTCAACCAAAGCGGTCTACTGAAATGCCTAGTTTTAAGTCCATTTCTTATCATGGACAGTATAATGAATGTTGATAACGA